TAGGTTATAGACGGCCCTGTGTTTACATAACTTTTTGTCCTAAATTATATTAGAGAAGTTATACATAAGCAAAAAGGATTTTTTTTTTGCTTATAACTTCTTTAATCTTTAATTTAAGGCAAAAAGTTATATTAACATTTTATTTTTTTAAAAGATTATTAGTAATTTGTTATTGCACAAAATACTAATACTCCCGTTAATCCCTCGTACTAAGCTAAATATGCTTGTATCACGAGTGAGCTCACCACAATAGTCGAGCGGCGGCGGGGACCGAATCCGCGTTCCCCGGATCACGAGTCGGCCAGTCCGACCCCTTCACCGTTCGGCTATCGTGGCTTGTAACATATTTGTAGGCAAAGCAATTTTCTACAAATTATGACTGTACAATTTGTTTGTACGACGCATAGTTTCCGAGACATGCACGCGGGCAACCGTAGCACAGGGGCCCCCTGTGCTACGGTTGCCGCATGCCCCGCAACCCAGGCCCGTGGGGGGCCCGCGCAGGCTGGGGCCCGGCTGGCAAATGCCACCCCGACTGTATGGCCAGTCCGACGCTGGGCAGCGCAGGAGACCGGTCGTTGTAGAAATCTTTGGGGGAGGCCTTTGTCCAGCAGTGGACGTCATTTATCCGCCGATAGTTTGGTCAGGCTTTTAATCAGTTCACGAATAGTATAGAAATAGGATGGCATTCACATAACACACTGATTTGGTATTTTCCTCATACAAAGATTAAGCTGACCAAAATATCGGCCGACTAAAAGCCTGTAGTCTGCAGGGAATCTTACGCCCTGCTTGCTTAAGTGAAGCAGCAAATCGAACGCACAGCGTTGAATAGAGCTCTGTGATTGGTTCGTGTGTCACCCTGTGCGTCCACGCGCAATGGAAGACCTCATAGAAACGTTTGTGAATACAGGCGTAATTCTTTCAAGCAAAGTTAGGTATCTTTTCTAGTGAATGTCAAAACTAAAAGCGAATTTTTTACATCTACCCTTCTATCGTTGCATAATCGACACGTAACGACAATAAAACACATTTTTTGTCTCTTTTCCTCGAGGTTAACGCACTGTATCTTAGATAATCGTTTAATTCGTGACTCTTTTATTGTTTTAGGCTGACAAAGTAATGAATTCAGCAAAAAATGTATGACAATCTCTTTTAACCGACTTTGTGGAAGGATTTTTTTAATTGCCAACACTAAGAAAATGTATAGCTAAACTTCTTTCTATTCAAATTAAAACTCTATTATGTATATTAGTATATTGTTTGTCATTTTCAGGCATCACGAGCAAGATGTGTTTTACGCCCGTATTCACAAACGATACTTGTTTAAGTGAAGCAGAAAATCGAACGCATAGAGCTCTGTGATTAGTTCGTGTGTCACCTTTGCGTCTACGCGCACTGTGAGACCTTATAATAATGTTTGTGTATACCTACCACCGCTTTAGAACAAAATGCAACACAAGAGATTGGATGACAGACTATTTCCCAGTCTTTCTTAAATAAGTACGCTCTCTTCTTGAAAGAATTTCTACTCAAACTATATCTTAGAATTTTTTCAGTTCACTAAAATACACGTCCCATACGTTCATGTTTAGCTGTCTCTACCATTATTTTGGGAGAAAGAAAATATCGGTTAGTGCTGAGAAACGTTTTTCCAATTCCTTCCCTGAAGGGATGAAGTTTATATGAAGTAAGATTAGGGACCTTTAAGATCGTGATAAGTAGATCTAGTTATTTTACGTATTTTGCGTCTTAGGCAAAAGTTACTATCAGATAAATATCTGAAACTAGACGGAAGTCATAATCTACTTATAGTAGAAATAGCCACAATTTCGTAATATTACAGCTGAAACGGTCTGTATTACAGGCAGTTTACTTTAAAGATCTATTCACAACAATGTATCTATAGGAAAAACCTCAAGGAGTTGCGTGCGCGCACCACAAATAAGAGCGTTTCAGTAATAACTGTTTGTAAAGTACATATTACTATACATTTTACTTCCAAAACAGCACCTTGGATCAAGCCCTATAACCTTAACTTCGAACTCTTATGTTCTTCTGATTAATTTCGATGCGGTTTCAATGACAGTTTAACTTTCCCCCGGGACAAACTTGACCTTCACTGGTTGGGTTATTGGCGGTCAAGCTGTAGATCCTGGCTACGCAGGAGTTGCAGCGGTGGGAACAAGAGGTGGGAAAGCGTCAGCGAGACTTCAAGTATACTTCATATTTGTATGTATGCTCTGTCACGTCACAATATGTCAATGTCACCCCTCCAGTGCCGCTCCCATAAAGATGACCCACGCTGAACTGTCCCACCAAACTCAATGACAGGGGGGCGCTACCATCGTTCAACTATATGGTTTCCAACATGGCAAAAATCGGAACCAGCGATCCGGTATTGACGGTGGCGCCCCGCTGTCAATGTCATGCATAGGACAGTTCAGTATTTTGGAACTATATGTATACTTCATATTTGTATGTATGCTCTGTCACGTCACAATATGTCAATGTCACCCCTCCAGTGCCACTGCCATACCTCAGGCACTGACTGATTTGACTACTAGACCAGTGGGTCTAGACAAAGTGCAAATTATAATCGCAAACCAGTCGAAAAGTGGTCGAAAAGCCCCTTTTTTGTATGGAGTTTTGACGGATTCGATTTTCGATTCGATCAAAAAGTGCGTTTTGTCTAGGGGGGCTGTACCACTATAAAGAACACTGACCACCTCGAGTTGATACTGAGTTTGTTCCGGCGTTTCTTCTCAGCACTTGCCATATGTTTGTCTCGAAGCGCTGGTAGCGCCCAAAAGATAAGGAGACATGTAAAGCGCCCCATAAGGGCTACCTTTTCTTTTTTCTTTTTTACTACACTAGCTGACCCGGCGAACTTTGTTCCGCCTTAATGGCAATAAATAAGCAGACTTTTTTTTAATTTCGAACGGGATAAAAAGTATCCTATGTCCTTCTCCTGGCTCTAAACTACCTCCCTGACAATTTTCAGCTAAATCGGTTCAGCCGTTCTTGAGTTATAAGTGGAGTAACTAACACGACTTTCTTTTATATATATAGATATAGATATATAGATTTTGACGTTCATAAGTGCCACTTGTGGTCTAAACTGAATAAATATTTTTGATTTTGATACGGTTACGATTTTCGAGTTTAGCTACTTGATTGACTCTATTTCTAAGACTTACCACGTCTATTTCTATTGTAACACAATTAAATCAATTAAACCGAGTTAATGAGATAGTCATTGTAAAAATGTCGTGTCAAAATGGAAATAAATCATCCAGCATCATTGTGAAACGGTTTTTCTTAGTTCCCTGTTAAGATTCTAACGTAATACTTAATTTGCCTACGCTAATGTTGATTCATACTTCTTAGTAAATTAACACATAATAATTTATTGTCAGACTATTAATGGTATAACGACTGGTGACTGCTAAAGAATGATATGCATTTTATGTGCTTTTGATAAAAGACGATTGTCGGGTATACAACAACAACTATAATCCCCTATTTCACTAAATTATTATTGTTATGCCAAAATCACACGAATATTATAAAGGCAAAAGTTTGTGAGTGTGTATGTTTGTTACTTCTTCGCGTCTAAACGGCTGGAGCGATTTTAATATACTTTGGTATGGAGTTAGCTGACACGACACCGTGGATTAACACATACGCTATGTATCGCGGGTAACACCGCGGGGCACAGCTAGAAAGAAAGAAGAAAGAAAGAAATAGACTTTATTAGCTAGTTAATCATATAATTGGATCAATGGTTTATACAGACACTAGACAGTAAAACAAACGAAAACGACTAGATTTCTAGCATACGTGAGACTCTTAAAGGCAATCTTACCATGATGTAATGGTAAGTGATTCTGTGACCTAGAGACATTTACCATGGTTAAGGGACATTACCTAGTTGTAGTCTGAATATGATTTAAACATAGATAAATATTTTATTGACATTGCGAACATCAGGCCTCCCCAACCCGTCTGGCCAGCGCGCCAGTGTAATTCTTATGACTGTACCAATTTTAGGCTGAATAATATATTGTTCTAAGTTATCTATGAGTGGTCCCAGTTGCCGGAAGAATATTATTTAATTTTTAAGGATCCGGCGACTGGGACCGCGGTCCCAGTTAATTGCGGTCCCAGTCGCCGGAAGCCTCACACACGGAGGAACCAATCACAGAGCTCTATTCAACGCTGTGCGGTCGATATGCTGCGTGACTTAAGCATCATTTGTGAATACGGGCGTAAAACTCATTCATTGTTGCTAGTAGGTTTTTAAAAAGCACTTTTACACGTCCCAGTATTAACCCTGCCACTGCTTCGGGACAATAAATGGGCCAGTGCTGGGAAGAAGAAGCGCAAGAGACTCAGTCACTATTGTCAGCCTCTTTTTCGATCAAATACTTAAATTAAACAAGATATTATTATGTAATAATTGCGAGCTAGGCAGGTAAAGTCCACGCACTTTTGTCATTTAGTGCAGGGATGTTATGGATATCCGTAACCGTTACCGAAACTTTCGGATATCCGGAAAAAAAATCTGAAACCGTAACCGATTCAAAAGTTTCAGATAGTTTCGGGTGTAGGCAGTTTAAATTGATTTTTGTATAGCATTATATGTAAAGGCATAACTGCCTGATTTACCTTTATAATGCCATCTAGTATCAATTTTTATTTTTTTATTACTTTTTATTCGATGTAAAGTGTGCGGCCATTAATGAACCGTGTTGGACAACTATTGCAAATTTCATTCTAAAGCACAGATATCCGTAACTGTAACTTTCGGATATCCGAAATAAAAAAATATCCGTAACCGTAAGCGAAACCGGTATAATATTAATCCTATATCCGTAACCGTATCCATAACCGAAACTACATATCCATAACATCCTTATTTTAGAGGGTCGTGCTCCTGCAATGGAGACCAAATGACCTGATGATGATGATTTTAAGTTGTATATTGTTTGTTACAGGACGCCTGGCAGTCATCACTTTCAGCATATTCACCGTGGCACTCGGCATCATTCTATCCTTCGTACCTTGGCTAGACTACATTATATTTCGGGTGAGTTAAGTTTTCTTTTTATGGGCACTCTGCTGAACTAGAGCCCCGCAATTGATGGGAGCCCCCACCTGCTCCCTTATAATGAATCATCATATGATTTTAAATATTCCACGACCACTCTGCCAAGAGTGTAGCGACGAAAAATAATCTTTTGTATCCCACCAAAAACATAAATATAAAAATGGAGAGCCAAGTTCAATACAAAATTATGCTTGGCTGTGGGCTTCACCGCAAAAAGAATGGAGATCTAAATGAGTGCCAAGTTCTATGCAAAATCCAAATATGTATAGGAACAAAACAACATTATGAACAAGTATTAAACTCTATTTGTTTGCTTTATTGGATACCTAACAATTGCTGTTATTTAAAAATGTGAGATCTTAAAATAGGTTACATTTGACTCTAAAAATATTGTCCATAATGTTAGTAGCCACTTATGCTAAATACCATTTTGTCCTCACAGGAACTCAAAATCTGGAACGGCTCGTTAAGCTACAGCTACTGGCAGCGGCCCGGCGTGGTGCGACTGACCAAAGTATACATTTTCAACGTGACCAACCCTCAGGGCTTCCTGGAGAATGGAGAGAAACCTAAGCTGGTGGAAGTCGGACCTTTTGTGTATAGGTAAGTCTTGATTCGATCATGACAGTCCTGGATCTGTCAATAGGCCGTATAGGCAGATTTCAAATGACGCTTACTCGATTTCAGAAGATAAAAGTTAAATAAAAATCCAACCCCATCCTAGCCTACGGGCAGCAAAACTGTAAATCCGCCACTGGGTCATGATGACATAGTCCGACGGATTAGCAAGCTGAAGTGGCAATGGGCAGGGCACATCGGTGTCCTGCCTATTGCCACTTCAGTTTGCTAATCCGCGAAACTGACGTCCGATGGGTAGCAAGATTCTGTAGGTAAGACCATCCACAAGGTGGACAGACGACGTCATAAAGGTAGTAGGAAGGCGCTGGATGCAGGCTACCAACCAGCCAATCTGGAAATCATTGGGGGAAGTTTGTTCATCAGTAGTCGTCCTGTGGCTGGAATAATGATGATGAAACCACCATCTGAAAAACATATTAATAGTCAGGCCTCCCTCTTAGTTTACCCCAAAATCTGTAGAAGTTCTAGATGCAGGCAGCGCAGGACCGTTCGCTATGGAAATCCTTGGTTGAAACGAAGTCTAATTTGTGACATGTATTGTACGTTTCTTGAGAGAAAATAATATGTAGTTGACAGTAGGTACCTAACTACCTAGTCGTTATCTTCTCGCCAGTGGTGGAACAAATGTTTATGGTACATTACTCGTTTATAAGAATGAGGTTAACTTATTTTAAGTGATACTGATGATAATAATATAGTGTAAAGGACATTTTATTATCAAGTTTATTCTTAACAACAACAATCACGTTGTAAGTTAATTTCACACGTGTTTTAATCAATTTAACTTTATCTCTTATCTTAAAAATCACCTAAGCATCATTATCACTCGAGCATTCCTTGTATGGTCACGTAGTATCCACAGTTTTACACAAATATTACAAACGCAAAAGTAAATCTGTCTGTCCGTTACAATTTTAGAGTTACAAGTGGGTATTTTATCAATTTTGATTTTAGTAGGGAAAGATGGGAGTGATAGGACCACAGATCACAGAAACTAAAGGGAGATGTGACAAAGGGGCGGGGCCGGTGTCTCAGCAATATGCCCAAAAACAGAACACATTGCTGCAGACGTCATAATGTAAATAGTTTACATTGCTTGCGTAGTAGACTAAAGATTATTCGAACGTTAATGAGCACATATTTTGATTACTAATGCGACACTGAGTTTCGAACTCAGCGCATTAGTTGGCATCTCTCTATATTTCTATAGATGGGACCTAGGAAAATGAATTTTACTAAAAAAATCTTAATAAAAAAGGTGACGTTTAAAAAGTGGGCTTCGCGTCCCAATGTTGCTATAACCCTACTACCTTCCAACCCTTCGGGACCATAAATGGGCCAGTGCTGAGAAGAATCCGAGCGCAAGAACTCCCTTAAAGGGGACAAAATAGGGGATGAAATTTTATGAGTATCATATTACATTTTTTTCCTCATTGTAGTATTGTAAGAAACATCAAATCTTTGTGGCATCTTACACAGTTGGAATAGATTATATTTTACAACGAAACTATACTCGTATAGACTGATGTGCTGTCGAGTGTAAAATACTACGTCGGTCATATGAAGTAATATAGTATCTGCTCACTATGATCAAGTACGAACCATTCATTAAAATAGTGTGCAATTTAAAAAGAAATCTAGAATAAATATCAGGTCATTTAGTCTCCACTGCAGGAGCACGCCTCTAATTGACCAGAGGCAAGAGGATTTGTCCTACACTCCCCACGCTGGCCAGACGGGTTGGGGAGGCCTGATGCTCGCATGTTTGTCCCTTAGAGATTCTATTGGTTTTTTTACAAACACAGCCCTCGGTAGGTAGGTACGCATCCTCGCACATATTTTTGGAACTATTCCCACCTCCTGTTCCCACTGCCACTCCTGTGTAGCCAAGATCTACAGCTTGACCGCCAATAACCCAACCAGTGAAGGTCAAGTTTGTCCCGGGGTAAAGTTAAACTGTCATTGGACCCGCAACGAAATGAATCAGAAGAACATAATTTCGTTGCGGGTTGCGGGGACTCCTGTTCGAAGTTAAGTTTCGACTGCGCGTATCTGGTGGAATCGCAGCCTAATCGGTCGAATGGCGCAGCCCCGATCTGGTTGCCAAATGCCCTCACGCGATCAAGTAAAATTTCGCTAAAACCAGTTGGTACATTGGCATTGGTTGCCCAATACAAATGTACAGACAACAACAAATTACTCGAATTTAAACCCTATTGCGACATAAGGACAGACGTTCGTGTCTGTATTGTGTACATTGAATGAACTTGTACTAAATAATGTCAAGTTATGATATGTTTATGAAATCGTCGAGTTTAAATGTGGTCCCAGTTTGGTTGACATTGCAGACTTGAATCAACCTAATTGTCAAAAATAATTGAAGAAAAATACTTAGTAGGTGTAGATAGTAGAATTTATATGATCGCCTAGCCTAATGGATCGCAACCGGTTTAATCTAGAATCTAGTAAACCCGCAACATCTAGCAGCTAGTTGTAACCCAACTTCTTCTTGATAGAACCAAAGTTAGATGAAGAAGAAGTTGGGTTAGATCAAGATGTAGATCCTGGCTATTACAGTACCTCTAGCATGAAAAACTCTCGACTTCGAATCGTTTGCGTATTCGAATCCCCATGAAAAGACTAAGTACGAAAACTAAAACAGAGCCCTTGTGAACGTGTCGTAAAGTGAACTTAATATGAGAAATGGTTGCACTAAACTTAGTTTGGCAATCAAAATCGTCACGTTATCGTTTAATTGGAAGGTTGAATATCGATTTTTGTCAAATACGAAAACGATTCGATGTCGAAAGCTGTTCATGCTAGAGGTACAGGAGTTGTAGCGTGGGAACGAGAGGTGGGAATAGTCACGTATGTTATGTTCTAACTTTGTAAAGTCTTTATGTCCAATGACAGTTTAACTTTCCCCCCGGGACAAACTTGACCTTCATTAGTTGAGTTATTGGCGGTCAAGCTGTAGATCCTGGCTACACAGGAGTTGCAGCGGTGAAAAAAAGAGGTGCAAATCGTCCAGTAACATGGTCTAACTTTTCACCACTCTTTTGCGCCTCCATGTTAGCAAAAAATAGAGAACTCAGTACGAATACTAGGTAGTTATTTCTATTTTTATGATAAATACCTTCAAAGTAAATAACTCTAAAGGTTGTAAACATTTACATTCAAATTAAATACAATTGAAGAGTCAATTGCTTGTGCGCTTGACCCGAGCTGAGTTACTTACGTAGGTATAGGCTATTTGCCTCAACCTAGGCCTTTAGGTCTCAGATTATACCTAGGGTATACTTAAATTATACTAGCTTTTGCCCACAGCTTCACCCGCGTGAAATCTGTGCATAGATTTTTTCAGCCTAGCTCGAACTTATCTAGTAAAACTAGCGGACGCCCGCGACTTCGTACGCGTGGATCCCATTTTACCCCCTTAGGGGTGAAGTTTCGTAAAATCCTTTCTTAGCGGATGCCTACGTCATAACATCTACCTGCATGCCAAATTTCAGCCCGATCCGTCTAGTGATCTAGTGGTTTGGGCTGTGCATTGATAGATCGCTGTGTCAGTCAGTCAGTCAGTCACCTTTGAGTTTATTCCGCCACTTCTTCTCAGCACCTAGCGATATGTTGTCCCGGTAGGGCAGGCTATATTTGAAACGTTACAAGTGCCCTGAAAAAAGCGTACATATTAATATAGGGCACGGGACACACTGAAAACCAGTGTCACCCACGGTGACGCAGGCCCGACACTGGTTATTATGATACCTAATATCAGAGTAAATACAAATGAGTAGGTCATCTTCATTACTATATACTCATTTGTATTTACTCTGCTAATAGTGACTGGGTTTCTTGCGCTGCTTCTTCTCACTACTGACCAATTTAAGCAGTGGTAGGGTTAGGCGTGTAAAAGCGCTAATTTTTAATAGCAAATAAATAATTTTACTGTTGTCTTTTTTAAGGTACCTTTTAGTCTATTTGTGAAGTCCATTGTAATCAATGTTTCTTTCTTTCTTCATAAATTCCCCAACTGACAATCTTCTCCATTCCAGGGAAGACATGGAGAAGGTGAACATCAAGTTCCACGACAACGATACAGTCACGTTCCAGCACAACAAGATACTGCGGTTCGTTCCGGAACTGTCTGTGGATAAAGCACAGAAACTGGTCGTGCCCAACATTCCTCTTTTGGTAAGTAAAAACTTCCAAAATTGTTGGCCAATGGGGCAGCAAGATTCTGGAGTGGAGGCCACATACCGGAAAACGCAGTGAGACAATGAATGGTGAGTGCAATGAAGAGTACGTACACAACCTCAGACGTATGACTATCATGAAACAAGACCTTTATGATGCTCACAGCCATATCGAATTAATGGAAGCTGAAAGAGAAGCCTGCACAGCCACCAAAACCCAAATCATGTTTGACGAGTTAGTCGGTAGTGCGCCCAGCCTGACCCAAACTGCATCTGACAAACAATTAATTACCATAGACCTAACTTGTGATAATACTTTAAACAATACTCCTGTATGTGGTAAGATTGTCAGATGCAGTAAAAATAAATTTAAAAAGTATGTAAAAATTAGTAATTATATTAAAAAAACAAATAAGTTGATTAAAAAACAAAAATGCTTATACAACAAAGTAAACTATATAAATGAGAGACAGCGTCTAAAGAATGAGCTTGACATATGTTCCACAATGTTAGAGAATAGTGTACTGAAATATGAACATGATGTCGAAAACCTAGAATATAAATTATGTAATCTTAAGAAATCTTTGAACACAATGTCTGAACGGTATCAATGTACAAAAAAAGAGTGTGATGAACATTTCCAGGCTTTGAAAAAATTTATATCGTGACGTCCACTCATTTAACACGAGACATAAGAATAAACTTGCTGTTCCATCATTTAGGTTGCATAAGATAGGTAATTCATTCTTGGGGAAATGTATTACCATATTTAACAAAATACCACACAACCTTGTCGAATTGCCAATAAACAAATTTAAGATACATATAAAAAATACCCTTATGTCCAAAGGGTACTACAAGGTTCGAGACTATATTGATGACAAGGATGCGTGGTCAGTTCAGTCTGCACATATTTGATGTACTTAAATTTGACTATTCTTACCGTTAGATAATTCCTGGCAATAAGTGGTGACTGAGTTTGTTCCGGCGTTTCTTCTCAGCACTTGCCATATGTTTGTCTCGAAGCGCTGGTAGGGCCCAAAAGATAAGGAGACATGTAAAGTGCCCCATAAGGGCTACCTTTTTCTTTTTTTATTATTTTCTATTGACGTTCATAAGTGCCACTTGTGGTCTAAACTGAATAAATATTTTTGATTTTGATTTTGATTTTGATTTTAGACGTCCACCCACCACCAAAATAAGTTTGAATAATATTTCCAGTTTTCGCAACATTGTTCTTTACTGCTCCGCCCCTTTTGGCTGTAGGGTGTGTTATATTATTATAGCCTAAACCCTTCCTCGATAAATAGCCTATCCAACACAAAAATAATTTTTCAAATCGGAACAGTAGTTCCTGAGATTATCGCGTTAAGTAAACAAACTCTTCAACTTAAAAATATTAACATGGATACTTTACAAAATTGAGGACCAATGGGGCAGCCTTATAAAGGTAGAGCAGGAAGGCGCTGGATGCAGGCCGCTACCAACCGTGCGATGTGGAAATCATTGGGGGAGGTCTATGTTCAGCAGTGGACGTCCTGTGGCTGAAATGATGATGATGACATCAATATAATCCTGAAAACTATGTTAGTTTTAAATTGGCTGTAAAATTCGCATTTCTAAGATGTTTTTTGGTTCCACCAAGCCAAGTCTCCGGATTGAATTTTTAAACATTTTTTCTTTCAGCAACCTCAAGATTCTAGAGTAGATTTTTATTGATTTGGTTTAATTTACTACTAAAACATTGAAAGTTGTCCAAACTAAAAATTCAAACTGGCGATTAGGCCCATTGACCAAGCTAAAAGTGGGGCAAGTCGCTAAATAAATCGTCTGAACGACGCCGAACTACCCTTTACTTTTAAAGAAACTTCCCTTTTCTTATTATTTCAGACCGTGACCTCTTTCTCTCCAAATCTGGCCGGCTTCCTCTTCAATTTGCTTGTCTCCGGCCTCGCCATCACGTACAAGGATCGAGCCAAACCATTCGTGCAAGTTACTGCAGAACAGCTAGTCTTTGGGTAAGTTAACATCAGATTTAGAATAAGAATAAGACCACCCTCAACTTCAACAGCATCAGATTTCGTAGAAAGAACCACTCCTACTCTTCCCGTGGATGTCCCAATAGGCGACTAAGGGACAAATAAATATGCGAACATCACATCACCCGTCTGGCCAGCGTGGGGAGTGTAGGACAAATCTTCTTACGGTAAATTATAGAGGTTCATGCTCCTGCATTGGAGATAAATGACCTGATGATGATGAGGATAATGATGAGGATGATGATGAAGAAAGACATTATAAATACGTATGTAGGTAACTTTGTCTGTTATCTTTTCATGCTTAGACCACTGAATTTGGTGACAGTTTGAGACCTAGGAAAAAATATAACGGTTTATCCTCATCCTTTTATTTTTATTTATTTATTAGGTACACCAACGATAGGTACAACAATACACAATATGTTAAAAAATACGCAAAATATTAAGCTAATTGCACTATCACTTAGAGGTATACACAGCTTGCAAGAAATATAAGTTGCTGCTTAGTTAGCATAAATGATGTTATATAAGTAAAATTTTTATGATATAGAGTCGGTTGCTGTAGCCTTGAATTTGGGTAGGGACATGAAATGCACATCCAGGGGACCACTACATTTATTGTAGATCTTGCAGATCCGACATATAGGAGAGTTGGCTCCTAGAACAGTTTTTCGAAAGGGGCGGGAGAGAGGTTCAATGGGTTTACGTGGTATTCGTAATGGGACTTTGAAGTTAAACTTCGCTAGCAAGGTTGGACTGCGCACATGATGTCTCATAATTTTGTAAAAGAAAGAAAGATCAAGTAGGTCTCTACGACGTTCTAGGCTTTTTATTTCCAAGTCAGTTAAGATCTCATTATACGAGTACCTTCTTTTGTCTGATCCTGCAATTCATCATCCTGAAAAACTTTAATTTCTAATGTTTTTTAAATGAAAACTTATTTACGTATAAATGCTTTTGATAGTTACAAAATAATAGTGTTTTTGTAAGAAACACGCCCGCGATAGACTTTCTGTGTCAAACAAAAACTGCTGGCAGAAGATAGTTATTTTATTGTATTTTATTTTTTTATATTTTCAGATACGACGACCCCCTGGTGACTCTCGCGCATTATTTTTACCCCAAGGGTAAAAGACCGAACAGTCAGATGGGACTATTGCTCGCTGTAAGTACCTTGATCTTTCTTGAAAATTACTCGAAGGTAAGATTCTTAAACGAACTGAAGACACTGACATAGACGGATTAGCATTAGCAAAGATGACTGAGTTTCTTCCGTCACTTCTTCTCAGCACCAGCCCGAAGTGGTGGTAGGTCAAGCTATATTTAGGTTATGTATAAGCTCCCTGAAAAGGCCCTAAAGCCTTGATCACACGTACCGAGTAATCGGGCGAGACAGTGCTCTCGGCTGAGTACCTACTCGGTGCGTAGGTATGAGCAGTGCCGTAACTAGCCTTTTATGCGCCCGGTGCGAGAAATATAAAAAAATGTAACCTTTTTGAATAAAAAGTAACCTTCTACGGGGGGGGGGGGAGCAGAGCGTGCATGAAACAAAACTAGATACTGGTCTGGTCATTTCTGCGCCCCTCCAGGGTCTGCGCCCTGTGCCTGGGCACCGCTGGCACCGCCCTAGTTACGGCACTGGGTATGAGCATAGCGCCGAGTGATCGGCCGAGTGCTCGGCCGAGCAAAGCGACGAGACAGTAGCTCGACTCCCGTTCAACTTACTAGGCCGAGTATCCACCCTCCCGCTGCCCCGCACTGTCTCGCTCGCTCGCTCGGCAGGTCTGAACGTGTATTGTCTCGCCACTCGCCACTCGGCCAAATGATTGACGTCACGTCCACAGATTAGAGAAAAAGAAAAGTCTCAATAGAACTGAACTGACTGTGCTAATTTCAGAACACGTGTGAACAGCTCGTTTACATCACTGTCTCGACCGAGTAATCATTTTACTGTCTCGCCTGTTTACTCGGTACGTGTGATCAAGGCTTAGAGCTGAATTGATTTCATTTTATTGGGGAGGTCTATATTCAGCAGTGGACACCTGTGGCTAAAATGATGACGTAGACTTCAATTGGGAGTTAGGACTGCTCTGACATTGCATTAACTGTTGTTCAGAGTAGGTATTCTTCTTAGTATTAAGTAACTGTTAAAATTCTTCTCTCTGAGCTAGTTTAATTTAATCTCATTCAAAATTTCAGTTAATCCTTACCGATTTCCCGCCTTTTGTATTTATCTGTGCACTAATATTACATCTTGTTGGTGAATGGGTGGCACTACTTAGTTTACACTTGTTTTTATTTATTTTTTCTTCTTCCATTATTATGTGCCACTGTCATGTCTATGTAATTGCCTGTATTTGTGTGATGTCCATTGTAATAAATGTATCTTACATTCTTTCTTTCTTTGTGTACTGGTAATTTAGTAAAATTAACCAGTTTTCTTCGTCCCCAGAGAAACGGAACTCTAGACGAAGTCGAAACGATATACACTGGCCAGAAGTCCATGGAACGGTTCGGGTACATCGACAAAATCAACGGCCTGGACCATCTGCCGCATTGGAAGGAACGCCCTTGCAATAACATCAGGTAAACACTATGCTATGCTCTAAGCAGATCATAAGACTGAGTAGGATCCGCGTCGGTGCCAGCCTGCCAAGTGCCAGGGTTAAAGAAAGAAAGAAAGAAAAATATTTATTCGATGCAAGTAGGTACACAGCAAGATAATAACTAAAACTAGACAACAGAACGTCTACAAGCACCAAAATGGCATCAGCTCAGTATACGCCGTGACGGCAGAGAGCGCATCACGACCACTGGTATTCTGCGGATGCCAGTTGAGGTAAAGGGCGCAGCTCGCCCAGGAACAATCGGTTAACGTAACAAGTAATTTTAAAGATAGATAGCCTAGACAGATTATTTAATTACATTACTTATGTATAGCTAAGATTCTAATAATAATTAATATAAATTAATAACTACAACTTGTGCTACAACCATGAACAAACAACTCATGCACAGAAATTAGTTCTTACGATTTTCTTTTTATGATATGAATGGTATTTCTATAATGCTATTATGTGTGCTTTTGAAGGTTTAAAAGATACTTTTTGTAATTTAATTTAAAAGAATTTAACGTGTTAAACGGGTTAACGGGTTAAACGTATTTTTCCGACAGTTCATTAAAAATATAACCAAATAGTGACTGAGTTTCTTGTGCTGCTTCTTCTCAGTAAGTACTGGCCCATTTAATGTCCGGAAGCGTGATAGGGCTAATACAGGGAGCCTTTTCAAAGCCTACTTGGAAAAAAATAAATCAGTTATATGAATTTGTTTGTAGTAAAACCTTTCGTTTCAATTCGTATATCTGGATGACATACCTACTTAGTTTAATGAAGCCATGACATGCTTTTTTATCCAGTTATTTTGATTTTAACACTAAACTACTAAACTAATTTAGATAAACCTTTCCTCCTCCATTTGAAGTTGGTTAAAAGTTTAAAGTTTACCCTGACTTAAGTTACGTGTGCACTTCCCAAGAATTCATTTCATAAATAACTGTTGCCTCAGCTTCATTGAAACGTGAGGCAACGTTTAAGCACACAACAAGCAAAAGGACAATGAGTAATTTCTTCATAAATGACAAAATAAACATTGCACAAACTATATTTGCCGTTATAGGGAAAATGCCGACAACTTCCGGCAGTCTATTGCAATAAAGAAACATAAAGTAGACTCGGTGGACTGACGATCTGGTGAAGGTTATAAGAAGTAGGTATCTGGATGCGGGCAGTGAAGGAAATTTAATAGTTGCAGAAATCCTTGGGGGTCTTTGTCCAGCAGTGGACAAAGGCCGATTGAAATGACACTATTCTTGTGTGTTTTCATAAAGTTAGTCAACCTTTGTTTTGTCTCCTGTCATCCGCTTTGCACTGGAAAGTCGAACACTTAACTTCGAACTCCTCCTATGTTCTTCTGATTAATTTCGTTGCGGGTCCAATGACAGTTTAACCCCGAGACACACTTGACCTTCACTGGTTGGGTTATTGGCGGTCTAGCTGTAGATCCTGGCTACACAGGAGTTGCAGCGATGTTTTAATAAGAACAAAGTCGCGGACAGAAACTTATGAACAGTTTAAATTTAACTTGAGTTCAAGGGCAGTGTAACGTAATGAACAGCTGAGTTTTAATTATAAAATAAATTACATCACACTAATAAACCTTGGAGACAAAGTTATGAAAGTCATAAAGTAACGCCCGTATTCACAAACATTACTATGAGGTCTCACAGTGCGCGTGGACGCACAGGGTGACACATGAACCAATCACAGAGCTGTATTCAACGCTGTGCAAAATAAGCATCCTTTGTGAATACGGGCGTCAATGTTTTATGTGATTCATGTTATTACTAGAAAAGCTCTAAAGTAAAGATTATAGCACATAGAGGTACAAAAGCTTGTATAGACGATGATGACGTCACTATTGTACCAACTCAATTGACAAACTTAGAAAAGCTGTGCTTTGGAATTATTGCTAAATGATGTGACGCAAGGACACAAAGACCACCAATTTAATTACGTTTTGACGTTTTAAGTATACCTAGAAAGGTAAGAGTGTTACAAGGCGACAATAGCATAATGATGATGTCCCGAACTTGCCGAATGGACTAACTGTGGTGAACCCACTCGTAATGTAACACAAGCATAAGTATTTAGCTCGAGGGGTTTACGGGTCTATTTGCTACCCAGCTTTTCCCCAAAAGCTGGGTCCCTCCCTATCCAGGGGAAAGGGATGCCAAATCAGATTTGAAAGATAAGGTACTCGTAAGTAAGTAGAGGGCCGCAGCCATGCTTACCATACTTGAGGGAGTTTACCAGTCAGTTTACTATGCCGAGGGGTCCCGGGTTCGATTCCAGGCCGGGCAGAAATTGAAATGGTGAATTTTAATTTCTGTAACGGGTCTGGGTGTTTTCTATGTATATTAAGTACTAGCTTTCCGCCCGCGGCTTCGCGCGCGTGAACTACATTATCTACATATTTTACGGAACCCTATTTTTTTTTTAAATAAAATTTAGCCTATGTTACTCGTGGATAATGTAGCTTTCGAATGGTAAAGGAATTTTTAAAAACGGTCCAGTAGTTTTTGAGCCTATTCATTACAACCAAACAAACAAACAAAGTTTTCCTCTTTATAATATTAGTGTAGATGTATTTAAAAAAAAGTATTTAAGTATGTTTATATCCGTTGTCTAGTAGGTACCCATAGTACAAGCTTTGCTTAGTTTGGGGCTAGCAGCGCAGTGTAAGAAAAATGTCCAAGGATATTTATTTATTTAGCTGTTAGCCTGTAACTGGCACCAGGTTTTTCTTTACTACTTCTTTGGTAATTTTTACCTACCTACCATGGTGTGAGTTGAGTATGATAGCGACGCTACTGAACCAATTTTTTGTTTGGGTTTTAAATGTTAACTGCATTCGCTTACCTCATGTTTGTGACTTATTTACGACTAAAATGCCCCATTGATGTCAGATGTTTGGTTATGTAATTTTGTTACCTTTATGTACCTAGTACACACAAAGGTGACTGAGTTTCTTGCGCTGCTTCTTCTAGCCCATTTATTGTCCCGAAGCAGTGACAGGGTTAAACTAATAATAATTTTACAGGCCAAATCCTCCATATACCTCTGGTAAATAAGAGGGTCTTGCCGGGTTAGTGGAGACTAAATGTCTTGATGATGAACCTGGTCCAATGACAGTTTAACTTTCCCCCGGGACAAACTTGACCTTCACTGGTTGGGTTTTTATTGGCGGTCAAGCTATAGATCTTGGCTACACAGGAGTTGCAGTGGTGGGAACGAGAGGTGGGAATAGTCCCGTTGATGATGAACCTCTATTTAATTCACTGTCCTCAAATATGTTTGAGTATGTATAGGGCACCACACTACAACCCATTAGTATTTTTATACTTCCCTTCTCCTTATAATCCACAAAAATTCTATCCATTGGATAAATTAAGTGCTTAAGCGCCTAACCCATTGGTATTTTATGCTTCCCTTCTCCTTATAATCCACAAAAATTCTATCCATTGTATAAATTAAGTGCTTAAGCGCCTTACCCAGCTTCTTGCCTGGGGCGAGTCATAATACCTAACTTTGGGCTCAGGGGGATCAAGTCAGATTTTTTTAGGTCAGATCGTTTTGGGAGGAAGGGGGCATCTGTGCACGCCCATGTAAGTGCATCTAGCATCTAACTGACTAATATATGTTTCAGAGCTTCCGAAGGTTCGTTCTTCCCGCCTCGCGCTGTGACCAAGTCGGACATAGTGCATGTATACGACAAGGATCTGTGCAGGATTCTGCCGCTGCAGTATCGGAAGGATTTTTACAAAGATGGTGAGTTTTATTAAATTACTATAGGCCTAGCACTTAACTCAATCAGTGCCTGAGGTATGAGAGCGGCACGGGACGGGTGGCATTGACATATGACGTCGTGACAGAGCATATAAAAGACAATGCCGGAAATTGGCGTCTTTTTTTTTTTCGCGCGGCCATCGACCAAACCTTGTTTTTTTATTACAAAATAGTGTAATAAACCAAACTTACTATGACATGTATACCTCTAAACTCAGTCTGAACTGAGTTACGAGCGTTAGAAGTTTGATGATTTACATACTAGATTTGATTTTTGCGCGCAAGTTTTGTAAGAAATTGCAACAAAATAGTGCCATTGTATGTGTAAACCATGGACCTATAAAAAAAGTCGGACGGATTCTCATCAACAAAATACTGTGACGTTAGGATACACCAGCTTGCCTGTACGTACAGGCCGGCACGCACACATTCACACCCTGTTACACCACTTCGAGTGCAAACTTCACACAGTTGACACATTTAAGCAGCAAAAAAACAACACGAATACGACATGTCTTGTGTGATGAAATTGTGTAAAAACCGTTCTGTTCGAACAAACAAAAATTAAGGAATCACATTTCACAGGCAAAATAATAATCCAATCACTTATTTCCCGACATTAAAATATTGAAATTAATTGAAATCAAACGTCATTCACTCGAAAAAATAATACGTCAAAGACCAGTGTTCTCAGTTATTTACGTGGGAAAATTACCCGAAATATGGGAAATTAATAATAATTTTAGGACTTTTTAGTTATTTATTACGCATACTATGGAAATAAAATAATTTATCATAATAATTGTGTTTTAATGGGATATATTTTCATAGGCAAATTTGATCCTCCCCAAAAATGTGGAACTGCAAAATTCAAATTTTCTTACATTGATTTCAAGTCAGTGTCAGGTTGTATGTTAAAAAAAATTTATCAGAGATAATAATAATATTATATTGATGATGCATAAGATTATGATTATAATGTACACAAGATTCGTAATTTGTAACTGCGTGAATCATTTTTGATCAACATTATGTACATACCCTGACACACTGACTTGCAAACAATGTAAGAAAATTTGAACATTGAAAATTTCGCGCCTACCTCAACGCATTCACCTTTCATCCTTTTAAAATGGCACGGAATAATTCTGTCTACATTTCCAAGTAACATCTGCCGATCTATGTTTTTCTTAAAATAAATGGGTAAAATGTTTTGGCTAACATGGCATCCCTAAATTCACTCACACAATAGACAAACGCCAAAATTTTGCGTCACAGTTTTGTTGTAGCGCGAGTTCCGTCCGCCTTTTTTTATAGGTCCATGGTGTAAACAAAGAATACCATCCATTAAAGGCCCCAGACATCAGGGTGGAGCAGAATCAGCGCAATAAAAAAATAGCGCAATATTTTGTTGTAATTTCTTACAAAACTTGCGCGCAAAAAGCAAATCTAGTATGTAAATCATCAAACTTCTAACGCTCGTAACTCAGTTCAGACTGAGTTTAGAGGTATACATGTCATAGTAAGTTTGATTTATTACACTATTTTGTAATCGAAAAACAAAGTTTGGTCGATGGCCGCGCGAAAAAAAAAAAGACGCCACCTTCCATACAAAATCTGGCATTGCCATTTGAAGGAGATCTGAAGTCTCGTTGACGTTTGATGTTACAAAAATACCCTCCCGCGCCGCTCCCATAGCTCCCATGCACCGACATAGTTCATCACTATACCTATAGAGCCACATATCTTTGAAATGACGTAGCTCACTCATCATCATCAACAGCCCTTTACAGTCCACTGCTGGACTATGAGGCTCTTCTACTATAGTGGAGGGTTTTGCCATAATCCCCACGCTTGGCGGGTTGGAGATCGCTGCTCACTCATCAACCCGGAAAGGGATCGTAACCGTATCAACTCGAGACGGACAGTACATTTGTATGAAATTCCATAGGTACTGCATCGCACACTTATCCGCGCCGTAAACGCCTCGCCTCGCGGTTGACAGCGCGCGAAAGGCGATGACAGCTCGTGAAAGACGATACGGTCACATACGGTGTTGATTTTATGTCTGATGACCTCTATTGAAATTTCCCAATATTCTCTTCCAGGCATCCAAACCGGTCTCTACACGCCGCCCGCCTCCACCTTCGAATGCGCCGACGTGAACCCGGACAACAAGTGCTACTGTGAAGGAGAGAAGTGCCCGCCCCGGGGGCTGCAGAACATCAGCCCGTGCCAGTACAGTAAGTGTCTTATTAAAATAAACAGCTGTCAATGGTTAGCCGGATCTCCAGCGCGTGTTTTGCCCTAAAGCCCGGTCTGTGAGCACGTAGCACGACGATAGCCCGCAGTGGCGGGACAAAATTCTACATGCTCACAGACCAGACTAATACGCAATCAAGAAAAACGTCGTGTATGTAACTAACTATGTAATGGAATCTTAGAATCTGAATTACACGCACTTCTAATTTTTGTATCATCATCAAACTGGCAATTCTATGTAGATTAAATGACAATACGATATTATGGTACTATCGAGCTGGTCCACGGGACTATTCCCACCTGTCGTTCCCACCGCTGCTACCCTCTTGTATAGCCAGGATCTGCAGCTCGACCGCGAATAAAAACCCAACCAATTAAGGTCAAGTTTGTCGTTGGACCCGCAACGAATTAATCATAAGAACATAGGAAGAGTTCGAGGGTCGACTTCCCAGTGCCAAACGGTACAATGTGTTTGTGACGAAAAACAGCCTCCCATTCCCGTCTGGCCAGCGTGGGATGTGTAGACCAAATCTTCAATTTGGCTATGGTAAATTCGAGTCGTGCTCGTCGTCTTACCATGATTTTATGTTAGGTGTGCTCGCTAGCGAATGCGTCAAATAAAGGATGATGGGCACAAATGTATGGAAAGTGGTACCCGCTCCAATAGCCATAACCAATATATATTTTAAAAGGCCTTTAGATGTTGGAAAATGTCTGCTATGGGGCCAGTTCTAATTCACGTTTTGAAAGCAGTAATTCCACTAAGTATTATAATGAAAGTATAACACAATCATCCATGTATACGAGTATGTATTATGACTACAATCTATTAATATAACTAAAAGAAGCATAGAAAAGGAAAGGATTATACCTACGATGAACTACCCAAGCTATTAGCCCTTTATTCGCTTTCATCATCATCATCATGATCATTTTAGCCATAGGACGTCCAGTTGAACATAGGCCTCCCCCAATGATTTCCACAATGGCCGGTTGGTGGCGGCCTGCATCCAGCGCCTTCCCGCTACCTTTATGAGGTCGTCGGTTCATCTTGTGGGTGGACTTATTGGGTCTTGTGGGTTTATTCGCTTTAGCAACCCATCATAAAACCCTTAAGAAGTAATAAAACTTTAACCCCTTTATTAATAAAAGTTACACCCTAGTTGAACTCTGGCTTAAATTGTCATTTGGTATGGAAATGTCATTTTAATCCAAGGTTCTTTCTAGGTGTAACTTTTTACTAATGGGGGTAGTACTTCTTTAAATAAAAATATTTATTTCACAATTATCCCCATCAATAATTATAGAGTTAAGGAAGGATGCTGGAGCAGTAAACTCTTCCTGCCTCGCATAACCTAAGTACCATACGATGGACACGTATGATACTTCTTCTTCTTCTTCCTCGGTCCCTCACTGATGAGGATCGCGACCACAGATAGTGTTCCTCCACAGACTGCGGTCATAAGCTGTGTGGACCGCACGATGCAAACTCCCGCCCACCGTCTTCCTCACCGCGTCCGACCATCTCGTCGGTGCCCTGCCCCGAGCGCGTCCCCCTTCATACTGTATGATACTTAGGTTACACAAAAAGTATCTTTATCTTCGAACGCAACCAGATCTGAGACTGGTGGCCATAGTAAATGTTGTTCGTCTTGGTAAGACCTTTCAAATGACACTACAAACATAACTATTGGAGCCAGGTACCATTCTGCAAAAAAGTATGAATATCTTCGTACACAACCAGATCTGAGGCTGGTGGTCATAGTAAAAGTTGTTAATCTTGGTAAGACCTTTCAAACGATACTAGACTCATATCTATTGGAGCCGGGTACCATTTTGCCCATTGTCCTTTATGAAGATTTTAAGTAGTTCTTGAAAGTAACCACTAGGGGCGCCGTACAATCCGTCATTCATTTAGTCATTTTTCTACGCAGTCGCTAGCGAGCACACCTAACGTAAACTCATGGTAAGCACACTGGACAAAAAATTGATGTAAATTATTATTATTATTTATTTAAATACTATATTTTTTTCCAGATGCGCCAGTGTACCTCTCCTACCCTCACTTCTACGAAGCGGAACCCTCCCTGCTGGATGGCTTTGAAGGCCTGAACCCGCGGAAAGAGAAACACGAAACCTACTTCATGATACAACCGGTAACACTTAGTTTCTAAATATTAAAATTTCTTTAAGGTTCTGGAATGGAGGCCTCGTACCGGAAATCGCAGCGTAAGTCGTCCACCCACAAGGTGGACCGACGACCTCATAAAGGTAGCAGGTAGGCCCTGGATTAGGCCACTATCAACCGATCATTGTGAAAATCATTGGGGGAGGCCTATGTTCAGCAGTGGACGTCCTGTGGCTAAATGAAATGATGAATTTAAATTTCGATTACGACATTAGGTAATGCTGGAAGAAATTAAATTTCTAGCAAGCACCACTGCTTCTTCAGACCACTACATTTATTTCTACTTACAGAAACTCGGCGTCCCGCTCGAAGGATTTGTCCGGGTCCAACTGAACCTGAAGGTGGACCGCGCGCCGGATATCCGGGTCAACAACATCCACCGGTTTCCTGATATTATCTTCCCCGTAATGTGGGTGGAAGAGGTAAGGATAAAGATAATAATAAGAATAACTTCGTAACGCAAAAAAAATGCATGACGACTTCAGCTCGATCTGCGATGTTTCAGAAACACATAAACGTTACTGTATGCTAATATCACATTATTATTCATTTCAGGGCATCCACGAAGTCACCACTCCTATATGGAGATGGATCTATCTTGCCACGACTGTGGGTCCCGTCGCTGGACCCATCCTAACCTATTCCATGATTCTCTTCGGTCTTCTGGCACTTGCAGTGGTCTTTCTACGAGCTTACAAAAGCTTCGTAATCGGTCAAAACTCTCTGGAAATAATGGAATACGGAAGAGAGACTCTACGCCGTGGATCTACCCTTATCATCCACGGATCACATAAAATACTTTCGGGAAAAGAAGCAACATATCAACCTCTAAACACATCTGAAGAATTTACTGCAGTAGACAGTAAAATTCAAGAGCTGAAGTTCGTGAAGACAGATCTTAGCCAAAGTTTAGACGAATTAAAGTCAAAATTCAAACCAGAATTCGTCAGATCGAATTTTAGTGAAGTGGAAAGAGAGACGTTAATACATTCTGAGAACACGTTCATAATGTCAGAACACGGACGGTATAACTTCTTCCAGTTACCAGAAACATATTGTTAGGTATATTTTTAAATTTATATGAATTGTATGATGTTTTGTGATGTGTGGGGGATGAAATGAGCCATTTGGCAGATAATGCAGTTGTATGAGATTATTTGCGTTAGCAAATTTTGGTTTTGTAAAGATTTTAGTGGAAAATGGGATTTGATGGAAGCCATTCAGTAAGTCAATAAAGGTGATGTAGTAACAGTACAATGAACATTAGTGCCTTCATTATTATAATAAGAAATGGCTTTTGGTGTTTTTGAAAGACAATTTATCAAGTTTGTGATTAAAAACTCTTTGGTGTTTATTTCAGCACTGTCTTGTACTATGTTAAACTTGACCAATTTCTTCTGAAAGAAAATCTTTGGGACCAAATTTATAAATGTTATTGTCAGAATTAGAAAGATCCTAGAATAAATAAAGTATATTATGGATTAACTTCGAAATTTTGTTTGGTGAATGATTATTGGTTGTGTTCTGACTGAATGTACGATTCCAATTTTAGAGGAATCATAGTTTTTATAAAATATTTGCTCATCTTATACAGGGTGGAAACGTTAAGTGATCTCACTCGATTATTTCTAAACTATACAAGATATCGAAAAACTGATTACTGATTCTGAAAGTGCTTCACAAGCTCTTTCAAACGGTACCAATAATAGGTTACATAATAAACTGGATCTATTCGAAAATTAAATGTTTTCAGCCTCCATACTAAATGTATGCCAGTCAAACAAAATTAGAAGTATTTTTTTTTTTTATTAAACAATAAACACTTAAAATGAACTCGTAAATTGCATTCTTATTTAAAATTATTCATGGAAAACATTGGTTTTAGGCTTTACTTGCTATAATATTATCAAGACATGAGTGCCATGACTGTGGCTGTACTAAATGTATGGAAGCTGGAAACATTGAATTTTAGGATGAATCCAGTTAATTTTGTAACCTATTATTGGTATCGTTGGATAGAGCTCGTGAAGCACTTTCAGGATCAATAACTAGTTTTTGAATATCTTGTATAGTTTTTAATATTATGTGGTTTTACTAAATGTATGGAAGCTGAAAACAATTAATTTTCGGATAGATCCAGTTAATTCTGTAACCTATTATTGGTACCGTTGGATAGAGCTCGTGAAGCACTTTCAGGATCAGTAACCAGTTTTTCGATATCTTGTATAGTTTAGAAATAATCGAATGAGATCACTTATCGTTTCCACCCTGTATAGAATTTATTACTTAGTTTTTATTGGCCAACTTTATAGTTTTAAAAGTAATATGCATATTAATTGAATGGCTAAAATAAATTTCATATAAGACTGTGACTTATAAATTCGACTAAGTTTGTGTTATTTTTGTTGGTTTCTTGACTTATTTTTCAGACTTAATTTTAGTAGGGATAGTTTAGGTAAACAATTTAAGGTTATTAAGTTTGTTACCACAGCCATGGAAATTCGTCATAAATTGATGTACACGAACAAAAACATTGTGAGCCATTGGGATCATAATGCTAGTCGAAGTTTAATAACAAATGTGTTTGTTTATTTCTAATTGAGTCTGTCGTTTCATGTACTTTCGTCGAGAGAGTGGTATATTATTTTCAAAGGACTATAGGAATATATTAAATGGGTATTTTTGAAACATATACAATACAGATTCGTCCTAGTTTTAGGGTGTGGTACACATATCAATTTGTATCGAATGGTGGGAATGGGGAAAGACTTAAGATCATAGCACACTGATCAACTCTGAAAGGGATCAACACCGTATCGCCTTTCGCGCGCTGTCAATTAAGAGGCGAGGCGTTTACGTTACGACGCGGATAAGTGTGATTACCGCCTGTAGTTGATACGGTTACGATCCCTTTCCGGGTTGATAAATGAGCTACGTCCTTTAAAATGAATATTAGAGTTAGGTGTAGAACTGATACAATTCTTTACTGTGTTTACCAGTGTTGACAATAATAAAATACAATATTGGAAGTTTATGAATGAGTAAAACTTAAGACTAGCCCTTGTAACGAAAAATCAAGGCCTTATTAATGTAATTTTATATGCAGTTGTTAATCATTACTAAATTAATGACACTGCAAAACATCTGACATGTTATCGAAGTGATTACATAATGTTATCAAGTATCTGTCAAAATAAATACCTTTCTGCATATTAATTAGTGTGAAAATACAGCGATAATATGTTAAAAAATATGTTATTATTTTATATTTTCATATTTATTATTATAAAAAACTGTATATTTGGCATCTTTTGAAATTGTATACAAACTTTTCTCTCCAGAAGCTGTGTATATTATTTAAATTACGTTTTGAATACTTATGTGATATAAAATATGAAGTATGGGAAGTTTTCTTCGAAATATTTCATATGAATTGCTCAAAACAATTTTCGATTTAATTAATGATTAAACGATTACATAATTTTTGTCCTCTTGATTAGGGTTTAGTAGTTAAATATAAAGTCATTCTGACATAATTTAAACATTCTGTCAAATATTAAATCTTATTTTATTGGCTTTAAGTTTCAATTTAAAAAAGTGACTGAAAATACGAGTGATTCAGTTGTTTTTTTATTATACTAAGTTACCTAAAATATAATATAATGACGACATATATTTTTTGAAAAGAATAGTGCCAGTCAGTAATTTGTGAATATGAAATAAAAATGTTTACGAAGAAAAGTTTTTCTACCAAACGTGTCACGAATTTATGCCACTGCAAAATTCAGAATACTATGTATTTAAGCTCGCTCAAAGCTTTAAAGATTCTAGAATCTTATAGCAGTTAAGAACAATATACCCGACTTGAAATAATCATCTATAAATGTAAGACTGTCTTTCTAGTTTATTTTTTTCATCTTTGCATAATATAAAACGAATTCGCTTAATTTTATAACGCAATGGATATTAATCTAAAGTCAGAGGAAGGTTTAGATGCATAATTTATTATATTTTTCCCTCCTAAGTATCTAAAATTCTGGGATAGCATTGTGTCTATATTTTAGGAATAGCTTACTATTATTATGTACCACTTTAGTTACTGTGAAGCCATCTTAGTAAACAAAGAAAGAGACAACACTACAAATATCATCGGTCAGTCTCTTTCTAACCTACGTACATTATTCCTTGTCGGGTATTTTAAGTTCGGTGTCGATGCATTCCATTTTACATTCTATTATTAGGGTATCAAGGACTATTTTTATGTGACTATAGTTTAAACTGTAAATATTAGTTGTAAGGTATTTTTGTATCAAATTTTGTTTGTAATAAAACGTGGATAATCGAAGGGGCAATTTTATTTTAATTTTAAGGTACTATCTATCTCTTTCACACGAGCAAATATGTCCGCGTGAGTGAGAGAGACAGCGTTATTAGGCATTCTTTTATCTATCTATTTAGGTCATCAAAACTAGAACTAGAATCCAGTCATCAATTTGTAAAACAGTAATAAAACAAAGTATTTGAGCCTAGAATGTATTTATTGACTAGCAAAATATTATGCCATAATACGTTTAATAGTATACTCAACTTTTAACTTAGACCTAACAAGCGTCGTTTACTCTAAGTATACTATAACTGGACAAGTTTTCACTATAACTATGTGAATCTTGGAATCAAAACATACAAAGTTTCGTTGGAGTTACGATCAACGATCGATTTAACGATCGATATGTCATGACAGACCAGGCATTATTAGTTATAGTGACATCATCAATATTACTGTCATTTCTGCCTTCGGTAATGACTCTTAAGCCTAGACGCAAACCACCGACTTTTAGTTGGAAGAAAGTTGGGCCCGATTCTAATTTGTATGAAGAATCGGCCGGATACCAAATCGGTGTAATGTGCACACTTTCATACATGTCTTGATTAACAGCCCGACCTAACTATCGGTCAACTAAAAGTCGATGGGCTGCGCCTAGGCTAAATCACCCCACATACAAATAGCCTTTTGGCACTATAGCCCTATTTCTTCATTCCAGCCACCACTGTCATTAAAACTGACAATGTCAATGGAACATTTTTTGCCAAAAATATGTTAATGTCGAAGCGCTGGAAGGGCCCAAAAGATAGGGAGACGTGTGAAGAGCCCCATCTCTTGTATGTTTTTTACTATTGGGGCAAACCCACTCCTTGAACTAGCATAACTTAGCTTGAAGGGTTAACGAGACTGTTAGTTATTTATTTGTGCAATACTGTGCCGGTAGTTGACGCCAGTCACACCGGAGGTTGAATTGTGTAAAGCAATCGTTATCATTTGACAGTTCATAACGTACGATTATTCTGTCAAACGCTTTTTTTAACTGACTTTTTCGTACGTTATGAACTGTCAAATGATTACGATTGCTTTACACAATTCCACCTCTGATTTCAAGTGAGATGCAGTCTAGGATGGTACATATTGTAAGTGCCTATTCACTCTCGCCTTGTAAAGGCCCGGATTATAATACTTATGTATACAAATTGATCGTAACTCCACAACGTTATCACATTACAAGCCAAAAAAATAAAGGCGATCGTTCCAAGTCACTTCATTTAAAATACATTAAAAATACTTCCATAATTTCTACGATATACTTACATTTACGGCTAGTAGTTATAAAAAAATCTTTTTTTTTTCACCACTCCAAATTACGTATATCCGTTTCTTCGTATAACAGATTGAATTACAGATTTTTATATATAAATAAGTTTTGGTTGTAGTTACGAATATTTAGCGATATATACAGTCTATAATATACCAAAATATACATTGAATAATGTATAAATAAATAAATAAATAAATAAATAAATAAATAAATATTATATATAATGTGTAAATATTATTATTAATAATGCATATTATACAAGACTATTCAATATTTATGTATATTGAATACATTGGCATAATTTATGGCCATACATTATATTTATTACCTTGTACCAAACAGCACATTAAGCCTTTTAGTTTTTTGATAATTTTAGTTGCAAAATAACATCCATTTCAACTGCATAAGATGTTCTTTAACTTGATGTGCTGGTCGTTCGATAAAACAAATTAATATAAAGTTTGTAAAAATCATAGATAAAAAATAAATTATGAAGATTATTGGAAGACATCTATATTTCAGTTTTTATAGTTGTTTGTTTCAATATAATAATATACTATAGTGGTTTTTATTCGTAACTATAGCCAAAACTCATTGGGACCTTTTTTATTAAATCAAAATTTGATAACAACTCTTATTACAACAATAAATAAACACATATTCATTGTAATGTGTAAATGAATACAGTACACAGATGAAATTGTACTTTCATAAATATAAAGTGTCATGGTGACTGGTACTTCACTAAAATAACAAGTAAAATATACAAAATGTATATAAGAATAATACATCCAACAAAAAAGGTCCCCAGACTTTCAAAATTATCCACAGCTTCTAGAAATAATAATAAATGAATAATTAGAGCATGAAAATCACGATTATTTTGTCATTTACAAACGTAACATACGAAATCATCTGTATATCATTTTAAATAAAGTATAAAGAATTTGAAAATTATAAATAACTTGAAAAAATCTTAACGCTAAAAATTAAATAACTAAGTATAAAGAAGCTAAAAGATAATTTTGAAAATCCATCTTCTTTACAGATTTTAAAATTTATACCTAATTTAAAATTTCCGATTATTTTTCATCTTACATTTGCGTATACAATTTTTGAATCGAACAGTATTTTTTTTTGAGTATACATTTTTTATTTGAATCGTATAATTATTTCGTATAATCGTTTTAAAAATTGGAAGAGGAAAGGGCACCACTGAATCAATTGCCGAAAAAGTGTATAATGTTTTGTATGCACCGTATTATAATGATATTGCAAACTCATTGTTAAATAAGTGTATTTTTAATGGGTATTCTTTCTAATCGAAAATTGACAACGTAAAATTCAAGTTACACTTCTTAAATTTTATTTTTCATTCAATGGCCACCTCTCCTATTCCTTAGGCATAATCTAAGATATCTAAAAGCTAATATGGCTGTTTTAAAACGAAAAAATAATTACAATGAGTATATTAAAACTTATGTTTTTTACATTTTTTTAAATAAATACAATCTTGACTATGGACGGTATTATAGTTTTTTTCGTGGTAAAAAATATTCTTATGCTATTTCTTTATGGTTCAGTCGGGGAGTGGAATCAAAACAAAAGAACAACTATCTCACAACCGGACATCAAAATTGACCACCTCATTATTAAAAAAAGCATTATTATTTTATTAAAAAATCTCTAAGAGATTTGAATCTATTTCAAAAAATCCCAAAGCTGGAATTTCAGACGACAATTATTTATCTGTACGAGAATTCCTAAAAATCAGTCAAAAATATAATTGAAACGAATCGTATAACACGTATTTAGTTCTAAATTATCATTCCTCAAGGATTTTATGTATACTCGTATGACATAATAAGAAGTAGGTAAAATTTACATTCATCTGATTCTGGGCAAAGGCTGATTCTTTGTGTACCTACTTTAGAACAGCAAATATTATATGTATATATTTTGTATACATATGAGTTTTTATCAGCACAAGACATGAACTCCCTAAAAGAAAACTTTTGTTAGTACACCATATTGTATTATATTTGGAATGGATTGCATCTGTCAAACTTATGTATTTTTCTCAAAGCAGAATCAGCCTTGTACAATTTTCAGTTTATGATACATTTATAAATATTACAATTTAAAATATTTGAGGTATGGATTACGTATACGCGGTACAGACTGAGCAATAACTATTAAAATATCAATAACATTTAAATACTGATTGGTATTCAATATCTATAGGCAATAAATGACATAATTTCACATAATATTTGCCATTCTATGATTTTCTTTACTAATTTGTGTCCATTTTTTTTAATTATTGCTCAGCCATTTCTATGCTAATATAATTTTCTTAAATATTTATGGTATACTGCTCGTATAATTATGTCTTTTCTGATAAAACGTTTTCATGATTTGAAACACGATATTTGTCATCACTTTTTGTATACACCGTAACTTTTTGTATACAAACGTGAAGTGTATACATTTTTTTATTAACAAGTAGTATTTGTCAGCTCAGAAGCTATACGAATATGTGTAGCCGTATACGTTTCGAATTTCGATGTATACAAATTGTAAAATGTATACTTTAGCCACGCAATACTTAGTTGCGCAAGAACATCCACTTTAACGGAACTTAAATATGTATATTACACAATGTAGACAATCCAACGCCCCCTATTTCGCGCCGCGTACCTTATTTTACATAAAAAAGCTAGATATCTCATTCTTTTTAATACTTTTTAGTCATGCTATAAAGATAATACTTGTTAAGGACGAAGCACACTTATCAACCCGGAAACGGATCGTGACTATATCAACTCGAGGCGGTTAGTATTCTTTGTATGAAACTCCGTACACTTGTCCGCATCGTAACGTAAACGCCTCGCCTTGATCCCTTTCCGGGTTGACAAGTGTGCTATGACCTTTATTTGTCGTTCAAGGACAACTCCACTTCTTGTCATGGTTTTATACTACACCTTACTTTGACACTTTGACTTGGATGACATTTCTGACTTGTCACTTTGACATACACTTGACTTTGACATCACAAGAGATCGCTATACAATTTTATATTACCTTACCCGACGTATTTATTATGACTTGTGTTATTTTACTGATTTTAATCTGACAACTGTAATTTTATTTATTTGAAATTTGATTTGAAATGACTAATAGTCATGTTGACACCAACCAATCATCGTATTTGTATAATATGAAGTTTATTAGTTGTATGTGTATACATTGTGACGTAACTATTTTTTTAATTCTATGATTGAATTGGAATTAAAAACCAATTTCGTGTTAAATGGTGTCAACATCCCTATGGCTAAATTAGCAAAAAAGTTACCAATAAAGTTGTTGATAGTTATCTGACGTTTAAAATCACCTGTTTAGCTGTGACTTTCTCTGTGTACGAGAGCTGAGAAACCAAAATTAATATTTAAGTTTCAATAAGTCTATAATAAGTTATCAGAGAAAGTATAAGCTAGAGACAGAACAGCTCTTAACTAATTCCACATTATGATAAAATATATCTGACAGATAAGTCCCTGATAGGCTATCAGAGACTTTATTAAGCAAACGCAAAACAGGGTCTTACTCCAATTCAATATTGTACTTTATCTGACAGATAACTTCCTGATAAACTATCAGCCACTTTATCAGCAACCTTCAAAACACGCTGTATAGTATAGATAGACATACGTCATCACCTCAGAGTTAGTGCATCGGTTGCTGTAGTGGTGGAAAGTTGGTGTGGTCTCGCGAGTCTTCGTTCCTGGTCTCCTGTTCGTCTCCAGATTGGTCTCCGTCCTGGTCCTCGTCTTCTGATGAGGATAGCAGGCCTGGGGGAGAGAGAGAGAGAGAGATAAATGATAGTTATAGTTCCAAAATACTGAACTGTCCTATACATGACATTGACAGTGGGGCGCCACCGTCAATACCGGATCGCTGGTTCCGATTTTTGCCATGTTGGAAACCATATAGTTGAACGATGGTAGCGCCCCCCTGTCATTGAGTTTGGTGGGACAGTTCAGCGTGGGTCATCTATACAGGGTGTTAGGTAAATGGGTATATGAGCCGACACTAGCCCATGTTAACATGGGCATATAAATGGTATGGTGAAATCAGAAATTTGATATTATCATTTTATTTTTTTAATTTTCATACAAAATAAATTTTATAAAATCTGATTTGTATGAAAAATAAAATAATTAAAATGAAAATATCCATTTTCTGACTTCACTATACCATTTATATGACCATGTTAACATGGGCTAGTGTCGGCTCATATAGCCATTTACCTAACACCCTGTATATTATACATCCTATGGTAACCATAGAGATATAGAGAGATGCCAACTAATGCGCTGAGTTCGAAACTCAGTGTCGCATTAGAAATTGACACACAAAAAGTAATCAAATATTATTATGTGCTCATTATCCACTGCGGTATCAGTACTCAACGTCCGAATAATCTTTAGTACTACGCAAGCAATGTAAACTGTTTACATTATGACGTCTGCAGCAATGTGTTCCGTTTTTGGGCATATTGCTGCGACACAGGCCCCGCCCCCTTTTCACATCTCCCTTTAGTTTATGTGATCTGTGATGGTAACGTTATCTATCCGCTTTGCACTGGAGGAAAGTCAAACCTTAACTTCGAACTCCTATGTTCTTCTGATTAATTTCGTTGCGGGTCCAATAACAGTTTAACTTTCCCCCGGGACAAACTTGACCTTCACTGGTTGGGTTATTGGCGGTCAAGCTGTAGATCCTGGCTACACAGGAGTTGCAGCGGTGGGAACGAGAGGTGGGAATAGTCCCGTTTTTTATGCCTAAGGTACAGAGCATTTAAATATCGCAAGGCTGGTGTGGTCCCGGCAGAGTAGAATAGGACCACTCTTACCATGGATGTCGTAAGAGGCGACTAAGGGACAAATATGCGAGCATCAGGCCTCACAACCCGTCTGGCCAGCGTGGGGAGTGTAGGACAAATCCTCTTGCCTCTGGTCAATTAGAGGGTCGTGCTCCTGCAGTGGAGACTAAATGACCTGATGATGATTAGGTTTATGTGTAATGTTACCTGCTGTAAATTGTGGATTGGACAGAGCATCGGGCCAGTATCTCTTGTTTATGGACGAGCCGTTTTTGCTTTTCTTGCCACCTGAAAATAAAACAATTTGGGCGCTAGTATTAAGTTGGAGTAGATAGAGTCAGCGTGAAATAATTCGTGACACGCAAAAATCTATTAGATATAGACATTGGAATACATATAGAAATTGGAATACATATAGAAATTGGAATACATATAGAAATTGGAATGCAAAACATATAAATTTGAATATAGAAGGTCCCGTTTTAACCTTCATTATTAGATTAGAACAAACGGAAAATAATTCAAAAGTTAAATCAAATCAAATCAAATAAGTTTATTTGCAGAACAAAATGTCATGATAATACAGGTATACAGTATCTGAGTCAGTTCCAATTATGTTCAAGTTAAATTCGAATCATTTGATTTTGGAACTCTCGGACAGCGTTAATATCTGACGAAACTAAGATGGGGATCTCACCAGGCTTGTCAGTGCAATCCAGCATCGGCTTTAAGATGCGGCGTTGTTGACTTAATTATTGGTATATAGAAATTGGAATATTGGGCATCCCGTTTCCACCTTCTTTATAGACAAGGATAGAAGTCATTTTTCGAAAGTTTTGAGAAATCGTCGATTTATCTTCGAACCCTGACAAGAACTACTAAATATCTGATGAAACTAAAGGACGTAAAAAACGGTTCTATTTGACGTGACAGCGACGGCATCACGCATCTCTTTTTATCACACAGTGTGGCTGCTAATGACATCTCACTTGCTGTCCTTTGTTGCTCTATTCTGTTTAAGCTTATCTAAACCGCTCAAGTTAGACGCTTGAAATTTGGCATGCAGGTACCTTAGTAAACTTAAAGCTTAGTTACAATAGGATATTGCAAAATTCTCACGGGAACGGAAGTTAGCGGGAAAAAACATTTGTATGAAAAAATCTAAACCGCGTAAAATAGATTAAGGGGGTAAAACGGGATCCACGCGTACGAAGTCGCGGGCGGCCGCTAGTTGCTTATAAACCAAATATACTGAACTGTCCTATCCATGACATTGACAGTGGGGCGCCGCCGTCAATACCGGATCGCTGGTTCCGATTTTTGCCATGTTGGAAACCATACAGGATGTTAGGTAAATGGGTATATGAGCCGACACTAGCCCATGTTAACTTAAGCATATAATTGATATGGTGACGTCAGAAATCGTCTATCATCATTTTATTTTTTTTAATTTTCATACAAAATAAATTTTATAAAATCCGATTTGTATGAAAATTAAAATAATTAAAATGAAGATATCAATTTTCGATGGCTCCTACGTATAAGGGCGAAACTGCCGCTTACGCCTTTTTCCAATTATTTAAGCAATGATTTCACTTTGCTCTAATCTATAACATCAGTAAGAAAAAAAAATTTTTTTTCCATTAGATACAAAATAAAATTTTAGGCAAATAGGCGTATGTGCAAAACTACGCCACGTATAAAGCCCAATCATACGATTCGTCAATCTATACGAGTAGTTGCTTACATAAACATATATTTTTTATAATCCAAATCTTAAATAAAGCCATGAAAATATTTAGCAAATTGTTTTATTTATAAATTATGACACATTATATAGTTATTTAATTTTTAGCGTTAAGAGTCGCATCTCAAACTAATTTGAAAATTATAAATAACTTGAAAAAATCGAACTGCCTAAGGCATCGTGGGTTCAATTCCCGCCTTAGGCAATTCGATTTTTTCAAGTTATTTATATTTTTTAAAAATATGACACATTATGTTAAAAGACCTAACTAAATCTCGAGCACAGTATATGGGCGTATTTGCGTTAAAACGTAAAACGGTACATTAAACGACTTTTTCTAACTGATTTATTATTGATATAGCACATGATAACAATTAAAATAATTACATGCATAAATAAAGAGAGTAATCGCTTAAAATATTATATTTACGTTGTCATTTAAGTCTCTTTACGTTGAACAATATACATGAAATTATAGAAATATGCCGACGTAAAAGGGCAATGCGTAAAATCTCAAAATATATAAGAAAAATATAAAAATTGATAACAGCAGTAGCAAAAGCATTACATGTTAAGGCTAAATGTGAAATTTCATTAAATTCGTTTTAGTAGGTCAGAAGATATGACCCAAAAATATGGTTCTGGCCACTAAAATGGCTCTCCTGTAAAATTTACTTTTTTCACTTACGCCAGTATACGTAGGAGCCATCGTTTTCTGACTTCACCATACCATTTATATGCCCATGTTAACATGGGCTAGTGTCGGCTCATATACCCATTTACTTAACACCCTGTATAGTTGTACGATGGTGGCGCCCCCTGTCAATGATATTGGTGGGACAGTTCAGTGTAGGTCATCTATAGCTCACCAGGCTTGTCAGTGCAATCCAGCATCGGTTGTAGGATGCGTCGGCGCGCGTTTATGAACCAGTTGTTGACTTGTAACAAAGTCAGCCGTGTCTGCGCCGCTAGGGAACGCTTCTCCTCTTCCGTGGGGTAGGGATGCTGTGGAAAAAATAATTAAAATAAAATCAATTTACTTTTTCAGTATCATCCAGTACAAACAAATTCTGTGTGATTGTGCTGTTTAGTCTTCAAATGTTTAGATTGGACAGTTTGCAATCTGATATTTGGATTTTGGACAAATACCTATCTATGTATTTGAAATCTGAAATTTTAAATATGGACTTTGGAAAATAATGGAAATAATATGGAATTTAAAAATGATTTTGGAATGTAAAATATAGATTTTGGATTCTGAAAAAAATTTGGGCTCAGGAATCTAGAATATACACTCTAATTTATACATTCTACTACTTATCTTCAATATAAAATTTGGAATGTATGCTATGGAATCCGTAATCTGGAATTTTTAATATAGAATCTGGAATATAAAATATGAAATTTTCACTATAGATTCACGCACGCGTGGGAGCACCAATAGCATCCTGAAAGTTCTAAGCAATAAGCCAGACTGCCCCCTTGTGCGACACTGGGTGCAAACTCAAGTGCAGGTGCCGGGTGTCCCACAGGGAGGCAGGTATTTGAATTAAATTTAGATTGTAATTTTATTTATTATTTTAATGTTTAATTTAATTTTCAATTTAATTTTTACTTTAATTTAATTTTTAATTTCATTTATTTGTCTCCTTTATTATAAATTATATTTATTGATTTAATATGATTTCAATTTGATTTTAATTATTTAATGCAATTATTATTATTGAAATTTTATGGGCCCTGGCCTGAAATAAATGAATTTTTTTTTTTTTTTTTTTTTTTTTATAGAATCTGGAATTTGTACTATGGAATCCAGAATCTAGAATCTGGAATATAGAATTTGAAATTTTAACTATATAATCTGGAAAATATAATCTCGAATTTGGATTATGGAATCTAAAAACTGGAATATAAAATCTGGAATTTTTAATATAGAATCTGGAATATAGAATCTGGCATTTTCACTATGGAATCTGGGATATAAAGTCTGGAATTTGGACTATGGCATTTAGAATCTGGAATTTGAACTATAGAATCTAGAATCTGGAATATAATATCTGGAATTTTTAATATAGAATCTGGAATTTTTATATCAATTAAAATTAATTCAGCAACTTACAATTTTCACTATAGAATCTGGAATATAGAATCTACAATTTTGAGATAAATGACAATGACCACTCACCACAAGGTGCTGAAACAGCCAGGCTCTCATGACCTGAGTCGCGTGTCGCGGCAGCACGCCGCGCTTGCCACTCGCATCGTCACCTTCGTCTTCTGGCGGCGGCGACCCGGATACTGAGGAGCAGGAGTTGTTGGAGTTCGTTCCTGAAATAGAAAGATTTATTGAAAGAAAGAAAGAAAGAAACATTTATTGCCATGGACATCACAAAAGACAAAAGATGTAAATAAAAAAAAAATTATAACTTTAAAAAAAAATAAAACCGACTTCAAATGCGTTAACACAAATAATACCTATTCAACAAAAAAATAATCGTTCAAATTGGTTCATAATCGGCGGAGATATTGCGTATAAAAAAGTTCATCCCCAATTTTCCACCATTGGGGGTTGTTTTTTTTATTATTAAATTTAAATGGGACCACCCTTGAGGTATTACCTATACGCCGAAAAAAGATTTGTTCAAATCGGTTCATAATTGGCGGAGTTATCGCGTAACAAACATAGAAAAAAAAAACATACGGGTCGAATTGAGAACCTCCTCCTTTTTTTGAAGTCGGTTGAAAAGAAGACAGAGGTGACATAAAACATACAATGGAAGAGAAAGTAAACTGAGCAGTGCCACCCTGTCGCACAGCGATGCCCATCGCAATGGGACCCCACTCAGCATATGCCGTGGCCCCCTGTGAGGAAGGCCACGACGCTAGTTTTCAGTGTGCCCCATGCCGAGTGAGGTATTGAGAAAAGTCATTTAAAAAAAGTTTAAATAGTCAAAGTCATTTGAATTTTATCAGTTGGAAATTTATTCGTCCTTGGAGGTTAAATAGAAACATTTAATTGAGAAAGGGTTGTTGGAGTTCATTTCTGGAAAGTAAGTACGAGTGATAAAAACATACTTTTACTTGAAAAATCGAATAAAAATGTCTAGTGTTGTCTAAAGCCCGGTCTGTTAGCACGTAGAATTTTGTCCAATGACCCCAAGCTACCCATCCTTATCGCTCGCGCGTAATTATATTGCTATCGCGCTCGCACACTCACTGCGGCCATCCGTCGCACAGTCGCGACAGCAATATAATTACGCGCGAGCGATAAGGATGGGTAGCTTGGGGTCATTGGACAAAATTCTATGTGCTCGCAGACCAGACTATACAATTTATACAGAAAGTACACACTCCATCTGAAATAATGAGTTTAGTTCTAGCTGTTCATATTGTAGTAAGAAAGGCAAGTAAATAGTAAAAAAATTATAAAAATCAGATATTCTCTGCGAATAGACTTTTAAATTGCGTTGTTACGCGTCTCAGTATTCACCCTATCACTGCTTCGGGACCATAAATAGGTAAGTAAGATTTGCTTACCTGTGAATGAGTCTGTCGGAATCAATCCGGCTCCTATTTGACTGATCGGTGTGGAACCTTGAACGACTAGCGATGCTGAAACACAAAAACACATTTTTTACTTTTTATCAACCTTATTCCCTAAAGTATAAAGGTAAAATCTGTTTATCCCAACTAATATTATAAATGCGAAAGTAACTCTGTCTGTCTGTCTGTCTGTCTGTCTGTCTGTCTGTCTGTCTGTCTGTCTGTTACGCTTTCCCGCTTAAACCTCGCAACCGATTTTGATGAAATTTGGCATAGAGATAGTTTGAGTCCCGGGAAAGAACATAGGATAGTTTTTATCCCGGTTTTTGAAACAGGGACGCGCGCGATAAAGTTTTTCTGTGACAGACAAAATTCCACGCGGGCGAAGCCGCGGGCGGAAAGCTAGTTTTAAATAAATTGGCTACAAAAAAAACACTTTTAGAAGTCCCAACATAATTTTAATTTAGTCTAGCGATATACAAATCGTCATTAGGTCATTGTACAATGTTCAGTAGTTCAAAATTCTTCTATAAATTGCAATATACTTACGACAATCTAGTTGTGAAACAAACATCAACATTTTAACGATCCAGATCGTAATAAATACATAATTGTTAGAAACAAGTAGTAAGTTATTAGCACTGGAAGGAAACTCAGAGACATAGAATTAAAAACAGCATGGTTCTTATACAGGGTGTTAGGTAAATGGGTATATGAGCCGACACTAGCCCATGTTAACATGGGCATATAAATGGTATGGTGAAGTCAGGAATTTGATATCATCATATTATTTTTTTAAATTTTCATACAAAATAAATTTTATAAAATCCGATTTGTATGATAAATAAAATAATTAAAATGAAGATATCAATTTTCTGACTTCACCATACCATTTATATGACCATGTTAACATGGGCTAGTGTCGGCTCATATACCCATTAACCTAACACCCTGTATACTTTCATGTTTGTACTAAATTTTATACGTTAAGTTATCATAATTCTTAAATAAATAAAAATAATGTGATAAACTTACGTGGATCTCTCGAACTAACGGGGTAAGGCAATTCGGTGTGCGGCGGGAACACCGACGGATATTGCGCGGCCGGCGCGGGAGGCGACTGGGAACAAACATTAGTCTAAAATTCCAGATTCTATATTCAAGATTCTATATTCAAGATTCTACATATATTCAAGATTCTATATTCAAGATTCTATATTCAAGATTCTATATTCCAGATTCTATATTCCAGATTTCAGATATGGATTATAGATTTAAAGCACGCCTTAAAAGAGTTTTTAATACAACAAAATCTCTATGATATTAGGAGTATGCGCACACCGTTGATTTTTCGTCGGCCGATAGTTTAGTCGGGCATTTGATCAGTATGGGCATGTATGAGAGTGCGCACACTACGCAGATTCGATTTGGCCGATTCTTCATACAAATTAAAATCGGGCACAACTATCGGCCAACTAAAAATCAACGGTGTGCGCCTACTCTAACGCTATGTGCTTTAATTTGTTTTGGCGCAAGTACACTATGCGGGAAATTGGCTGAGACAATAGTGTGATTATCGTCTCGGTTACTATTTCCTTCTCTCACTCGTGCGACGCCCATACTACGGTGTGTGATTTAGCGCTTTATCTGGGTAATTTTTCCGCATAGTGTACTTGCGCCATTTGAAAAAAAAGCTATTCAAATTCATATAAGTATAGTCTGATCTGTGAGCACGTAGAATTTTGTCCAATGACCCCAAGCTACCAATCTTTATCGCTCGCGCGTAATTATGTTGCTGTCGCGCTCGCACACTCACTGCGGGCGCCCGTCGCACAGTCGCGACAGCAATATAATTACGCGCGAGCGATAAGGATGGGTAGCTTGGGGTCATTGGACAAAATTCTACGTGCTCACAGACCGGGCTTTAGATTATATTGCTATTCGCATTTTCCAAGTCACCATTTATTAAAGAAATAAAAAAATATTGATATGACTACTAATGTTTATATCCATAGATAGGTAGGTAAGTGTTAAATTAAACGACTTGGATTGTCATTCGATTTCACAACTTTTTACGGCTAAAACTGCGATTCTTTTGTACATTTTTCTTTGATTTCATTAAGCTTTGTTTCATTAATTTATGTGAAAACGGGCATTTAATAAATATTGAAAGATAAATAGTATAAAATGGTAAACATACATTTCATACCTGATATTGAGGAGAATTTGATGTGCTAGAGTGGTCGTCCAAAGACCCGGATAAATTGTTGTTGCTCTCTACGCCTCCTGGAAATGAAAGAGATAGTTAAATATAGGGTAGCGACGCGACGACTGTGGCGCGACGGTGACGCGACAGTGACGCGACAGTGACGCGCCGGTGACGCGACTGTGACTCGACTGTACCACTGCTTTAGGACAATATTGTGGGCCAGTAGCGCATTAAACTTAAAAACCCTGCACAAAATCAACTAGCAGCCTCACAAGGTAGCAGAAAGGCGCTGGATGCAGCTACCAACCGGGCGATGTGGAAATCATTGGGGGAGACCTCAGCCCTTTTGTACCCTTTGCACCACCGGCCTGCACCACTGGTGGTGCAAAGGGTATTTTTTAATCCCTTTTGCACCACCAATAGTGCCGCCCTACCATTAACTGTAAAACGATTATCTATAATCATATAATATTAATATTATAAAGAGGAAAGATTTGATTGTTTGTTTGTACTGAATAGGCTCCGAAACTACTGGACAGATTTGACAACATAACATAAAAATTAAAAACAATCATTCATACCTACATACAACGAATAATTCCTAAAGTACGAGGGCAACATAATCATAAAGGAGCTAATATCAAATTCTTCTTGGTTGATCCAAGAAATAAACATGTATCATAAAATAGCTCCTTTATGGTTATGTTGCCCTGGTACTTTATTCGTTGTATGTAGGATGTAGTCCCGAGGTATCGTGGGTCTGAAGTGAAATGTTTATAAGCACTTACACACACACAAATTAAAACTTTTAGGTAGGTTTTGATTTATTTATAACAATTAAATTGTTAAGTATTTTACAGTCTACTACTAGTTTTACAGTCGATGGTAGCACAGCACTATTTGTTGGTGGTGCAAGAGGGATTTAAAAATACCCTTTGCACCACCAGTGGTGCAGGCCGGTGGTGCAAAGGGTACAAAAGGTGTTCAGCAATGGACGTCCTGTGGCTGAAATGATGATGATGAATCAGTATCACACATTGAGAAGAGAGGATAGAGGGTCTTGCTCAGGGATGTTTCCTGGGTAAAAAAGCAAGAGTTTTAATTAGTCCGTCAGTTAGCTTATCAAAAACTACTCGACACGTATTTTTCACTTTTTAAAACTAATGAAAATGTATAGAGATAAAGCGTGCCAAAGTTCTAAAGTAATGGCCCGTGACGTCAGTGAGTGCGTAAAAGTGCAGCACTTTGTGACGTCGCGCGGAACTTCAACGCACTATAACTTTGTAATTATTCGTTTAATTGATAATTGAAAATATACGTGTCCAATATTTTTTTATATCAAAATTGACGGACTAAAAATTTTTTTTAGGAAACAAGCCTATTAAGTAAAAATGAACGATTCACTCACCACCAGTGTAATCAGTCCTCAGCAGATTCTCGCTCTGCATCTTAGTCTTGAGGCACGCGATGTACCGCCCGCAGAAGTCGCGGCATAGCTCCTGCACCTTCTCTAGCTCAAGCAAGTGGATCCTGAGGACCTGGAGATAAGACATACCACCTTTGTAATCACAAAAAATACGGGATTAATCCCACCACTGCATCTCTTGGATAGGCAGGATACGCAGGTTGGCTTTTAAGGAAAACCAACAAGTAAAGGCCAAGTTTGTCCCGGGGGAAAGTCAAACTATCATTGGACTCATAACGAATTGAATCAAGGAAAAGTACTAGAAGATCGCAGCTTAGCTCCTGCACCTTCTCTAGCTCTAGCAGGTGGATCCTGAGGACCTGGAGACAACATAGATGTTTGTGAGCCACTGAAATTACGGGACTATAGGATTTCGTTCTGCGATCTGAGGTTTGGTCATAGTGAACGCAGCTTGCATCATGTATGAAGAAAGGTCTATTGAACGACTTGTCGTGCAGGGGAAGGTTGAAGGCACAAGTACGCGGTAGGTCGCTCATGCACTGGACTGACCAGGTCAAAACCGCACTCAATGGTGCACTCCACGAGTGCACAAGGAAGGCTGCAGTGCGGGAGGAATGGTGACGAATTGTTAAGCTTGCTTCCAAACCAGGTGTGACGACTACGACCACTCTGCCAAGTGCCAAAGTGTAGCGACGAAGAAGAGAAGAGTCGGTCAGGGCAACGGACAGCGGTCCATGCCAGACTATCTGTCAGCAGTCGTGACGAGACAATATGTCAGCGGTGCGGTTTGCGTTCTTTGCACGTGCCCGTAAGGTCGTTCATACATGATGCGGGCTGCGTTCACTTTGACCTGACCACTAACTGCGGAACGCATCCTGTATGGCCAATTCTCAATTCGACCCCTATTTCCCACCGCTGCAACTCCTATGTAGCCAGTATCTACAGCTTGACCGCCAATAACCCAACCAGTGAAGGCCAAGTTTGTCCCCATACAGAAACCTAAAACCTGGAACGACCTCATAAAGGTAGCGGGAAGGCGCTGGATGCAGGCTGCTATCAACCTTTGTGGAAATCATTGGGGGAGGCCTATGTTCAACAGTGGACGTCCTATGGCTGAAAGATCATGATGATGAATCCTAGATCATACCTGTATGCTCTTAATCATCAGCCCATCTATCTCCGGATCGTCGACCAGGAAGGGGCAACTCCTGTGTAGCCAGGATCTGCAGCTTGACCGCCAATAACCCAACCAGTGGAGACCAAGTTTGTCCCCTTAAAGCATTGGTTCCCAAAGTGGGGAGCGCGCCCCCCAGTGGAGGCGCAAAGACCTATAAAGGGGGGCGCGGGCCATCTGTGTACTTAAGTATTACATTTATTTATTTATTTAAGTATGAAAAACCTGCGACCGCTGAGAATGCATTCCAGGCGGCTCAATACTACCAATAATCTTGACTGGAGGAGGAGAGGCGCGGAATTTTTTGTATGGTCGAAAGAGGGCTCGTCTCAAATAAGTTTGGGGACCAATATTTGAGACGTCAAATAAGTTTGGGGACCAATGCCTTAAAGAAACCTAAAGCCTGGAACGTACCTGTATGCTCTTAATCATCAGGCCATCGATCTCTGGGTCGTCGACCAGGAAGGGGCGCCGGTCCCTCCGCTGGTGCTGCACGAACGCTTGTAAGTCTGCTCCGAAGGCGTCCGCGGCTGTTGTGACTGTCATGACGTCAGGTATAGCGCGCGCAGCGAAAGTTGAGCCGAACACACACATTTTTTTATGTGACACAAGAGGCAAACGAGCAGATGGATCACCTGATGGTAAGTCATTATCGTCGCCCATAGACACCCGCAGTCCCAGGGGCGTTACAGGTGCGTTGCCGGTCTTTAAGGTGAAGATACGCTCTCTTCTTAAAAGCTCTCACACTGGTGTAATATTTGAATACACTTGCTACCTTGCGCTTGCAAGTGTGCAAGCGAGGCAGAAAACTCTTGTAAGTCAAATTACGCAAGACGTCATCGCGGATACAAATCTTTGCTTGTGTTGATCGCCTCAACTCTCATTGCGTGACCTATAAAGAAACAGAACTATTTCTACTTCTCGTTCCCACCGCTGCAACTCCTGTGTAGCCAGGATCTACAGCTTGACCGCCAATAACCCAACCAGTGGAGACCAAGTTTGTCCCCTTCTTCTTCTTGTCGTGTCGACAACAAACCTACACAGTTTCAGCCCAAAACTCCGCCACGAGTGGCGTTGTCAGTAGCATTCATTAAATCTTCCTGCGCGCAGTTGTTTGGGCACGCAGGGCACGACATCATGTGCTTCATCGATTGGGGAACAAAACCACACTTGCAATCCTTTGAGCCATCCACGAATCCCCTATACAGAAACCTAAAGCCTGGAAGTTACCTGTATGCTCTTAATCATCAGCCCATCGATCTCTGGATCGTCGACCAGGAAGGGGCGGCGGTCCCTCCGCTGGTGCTGCACGAACGCTTGTAAGTCTGCCCCGAAGGCATCGGCGGCCGGGGGCTCCGCCCCAGCGGTGGCTTGCTCGCACCGCTCCAGTAATAGAGCGAGGAGTGGGAACAGAGGGTGTCTGGAAGGAAAACGTTTATTTTAGTCCTGTTAGCCCCTCATTCTTAGCTAAATATGCTTGTGTTACGACGACGGTGTTTCTATACGAGATTGCATCAGAAATGTAAACGAACTAAAGTCGCTGACATAGCCCGACGGACGGATTAGCAAGCTAAAATCAAAATCAAAAATATTTATTCAGTTTAGACCACAAGTGGCACATAAAGTGACAATGGGCAGGGCACATAGGACGCAGAACTGACGGCCGATGGAGCAGCTAGGTTTTGGAATGGAGGCCGTGTACCGGAAAACGCAGTGTTGGACGTCCACCCATAAGGTGGACCGACGAAATCATAAAGGTAGCAGGAAGGCGCTGGACGCTGGCCGCTGCCAATAGATCAACATGGAAATCATTGGGGGCTCCCATTGGCCTATGTTCAGCAGTGGATGTCCTGTGGCTGAAATGATGATGATGATGAAGATGAGATCCAGCTTGTGAACCACTTTCACAGTTCTACAACATTATTTTCGCTTGAAAGTTTGATGAAGATTATGATAAATATGGTGAAGTCAATGTGATGATGTAGATTATGATAATGATAAATTCGGTGACGAAGATGGCAATGTCAATGATAACGACGATGGTGTCGACGGTTATGATGATGACAGTTTTGATGACAGTTATGGTGACAGTTATGATGATAGTTGTGATGACAGTTATGATGATGACAGTAATGATGATGACAGTTACGATGACAGATATGATGACAGTAATGATGACGACAGTAATGACGTCACTCACTTGTACACGGCCCGCTTGTCGGCCTCGAACTGGGCCTGGTCGCCCTGCATGCTACCTCTCACAGCAACAGCTAGCGTCGACAGTAGCGCACTGCACGCGGCAGATTGTGACGATGATGATGACGGTTATGATGATGACAGTAATGATGATGACAGTTACGATGACAGTTATGTTGACAGTTATGATGCTAGTTATGATGACAATGATTGTGACAGCTATGGTGACAGCTATAGTGACACTTATGGTGACAGTTATGTTGACAGTTGTGATGGCAGTCGTGATGACAGTTATGATGATGACAGTTATGATGATGACAGTAATGATGATGACAGTTATAATGCTAGTTATGATGTCAGTTATGATGATGACAGTAATGATGACGACAGTAATGACGTCACTCACTTGTACACGGCCCGCTTGTCGGCCTCGAACTGGGCCTGGTCGCCCTGCATGCTACCTCTCACAGCAACAGCTAGCGTCGACAGTAGCGCACTGCACGCGGCATATTGTGACGATGATGATGACGGTTATGATGATGACAGTTATGGTGACAGTTGTGGTGACAGTTATGGTGACAGTTATGGTGACCGTTATGATGCTAGTTATGATGATGACAGTTACTATGACAGTTATGATGCTAGTTGTGATGATGACAGTTATTGTGACAGTTATGGTGACAGTTGTGATGATGACAGGTATGATGACAGTAATGATGACAGTATTGATGGCGATGATGATGATTCTCACTTGTACACGGCCCGCTTGTCGGCCTCGAACTGGGCCTGGTCGGCGTCCGCAGCCGGCGCGCCCCCGCCCTGCATGCCGCCCCTCACGCGCCGCGCCGCCGCATCTGGGGACAACAGACAGACATAACTTTTAAAAAAAAACCGACTTCAACAAAAAAAAACTAAAAATTAAAAAATCATCCCCAATTTTCCACCCTTTGGGGTGAAATATTTTCTTCAAATTCGCATGAAACCCCCCTTTTGATAATACCTATTCAACAAAAAAATAATCGTTCAAATTGATTTATAATCGGCGGAGATATTGCGTATAAAAAAGTTCATCCCCAATTTTCCACCCTTGGGGGTTGTTTTTTCTATTATTAAATTTAAATGGGACCACCCTTGAGGTATTACCTATACGCCGAAAAAAGATTTGTTCAAATCGGTTCATAATTGGCCGAGTTATAGCGTAACAAACATAGAAAAAAAACATACGGGTCGAATTGAGAACCTCCTCCTTTTTTGAAGTCGGTTGATAAATACCAATCTTCTTATTCGTTACTTGGCAGAGCGGTCGTGGTCACGTTGAGGCGTTGTTCACATCGGTTTTAGGCCTCAGCCTCGAATTTAGCGGGCAGCGGGGCGGGAGCGGCAGCGGCGCGGGAGCGGGGCGGGCAACGCAAACCCGTTCTCGAAACAACAAAACTCGAAACCGCGCGGCGCTTTAGCGGCGAAGGGTTGTGTTCGGGGTTGTGTTGTCGAGATATTTGTTTTTATTCGCAAACGAAATGTCTGAACAACGGCGACAATTTTATTTCGATTCTTTATTCCTAACGCTCGATTTATTGTGGGCAAAAGAAGGAGTGCGCTGCCCGCTCGTTGCCCGCTCTCGCGCCGCTGTTTTCGAGAACCGGTCTATTTGATTTTACGCATAAGATCCTGCCGCTACCGCCGCCGCCCCGCTGCCCGCTAAATTCGAGGCTGAGGCCGTAGAGCCAGACTCTTCGCACGATCTCCCTCCATCTCTCTCTATTGGCAGACTGTCTGGTGCAGTCACATAAGCCGTCTCCCACTGCTGATTCAACTTGGTCGGTCCAGCGCATTGGTGACCTGCCGCGCGATCGGGTTCCTTCGACTTTTCCTTGTACGACCAGTCGTTCTATGGAGTTGTCATCCCGCCTCGAGACATGTCCGAAGTATTGCAGTATGCGCGACTGTACTACGGTTGAAAAACGCTGAGTGACACCGAGCTCCTGGTGTATGGACACATTGGTACGGAACTCTGTCCATGATCCCAATGAGTCATAAAATATTAATATCCTTTACTAGCTTCTGCCCGCGGCTTCGCAAGCGTGAAATTTTGCCTGTCACAAAAAAACTTAACCGCGCGCGTCCCTGTTTCAAAAACCGGGTCAAAAACTATCCTATGTCCTTTCCCAGGACTCAAACTATCTCTATGACATCGGTTCAGAATCAGAATCAAATTCATCAAAATCGGTTCAGTGGTTTAGGCGTGAAAGCGTGACTGACAAGAGTTTTCGCATTTATAATATTAGTAGAGATAGAAAGGATTGCTCTTCCACACGTTAAATATGATCTAATAGAAAAAACACAATACAGAAACTATCCCTACGGGGAAGCAGTGAAACGCCATCTATCAACATGATCCCAACTAATATTATAAATGCGAAAGTAACTCTGTCTGTCTGTCTGTCTGTCTGTCTGTCTGTCTGTCTGTCTGTCTGTTACGCTTTCCCGCTTAAACCTCGCAACCGATTTTGATGAAATTTGGCATAGAGATAGTTTGAGTCCCGGGAAAGAACATAGGATAGTTTTTATCCCGGTTTTTGAAACAGGGACGCGCGCGATAAAGTTTTTCTGTGACAGACAAAATTCCACGCGGGCGAAGCCGCGGGCGGAAAGCTAGTATCTATATATCGGGGGTAAAACGAGGTCCATGCGTACGAAGTCGCGGGCGGCCGCTAGTTATACATAGAAAACACCCAGATTTAAAATTTGAGATCTACGATGCCACAGACAGGCCCATCTTTTAAAAAACAGCCCTTATTTTGCGTCAACAAACAAAAATACATCTCTTCACTCTATTTCATAAGACAGCCCAATCATAATCCAACCAAAAACAAGGCAAACAACAAACAAAACTAGCAAACGGTAAACACGACTCCGCAAATGGCAACACAGGGCAATAAAAACGGATATTAAAAGACGGGGCACATTCATCACAAGTGTTGCCACTGTGCCAGTAGATTGATATAAGATGTTCCCTAAAAGATGGGGGCGGGGATTAATTTTGTTATGGCAATTTAAATGGCAGTTACTGGAGTATGGTGTATATTAGTTGGTTTAGCATTCTGCTTATCTATAGAACAAACTAATTGCTCATAAGATAGGCCCCCTTAATTGATATTTATTGTCCGTGGTGCATAATCTTTTCAGGTTTTAAACGTTTGTCACCTGTCATCCGCTTTGCAATGGAAGTCGAACCTTAATTTCGAACTCCTCCTAAGTTCTTCTGATTAATTTCGTTGCGGGTCCAATGACAGTTTAACTTTCCCCCGGGACAAACTTGACCTTCATTGGTTGGGTTTTTGTGGCGGTCAAGCTGTAGATCCTGGCTACACAGGAGTTGCAGTGGTGGGAACGAGAGGTGGGAATAGTCCCGTATAGAACAAACTACAGTTAATGTCTAGGTGACTTCTTAATTATGGTTTTTCCCGCGACTTTATCTAGTCTCAACGTGATCAAAATTAGAAGAGTTCTTATCAATACTACACAATAAATATTTACTACTACCGGCAGCCCGCGACTTCGTACGCGTGGATCCCGTTTTACCCCTTTAGGAGTTGAATTTCGCAAAATCCCGTCTTAGTGAGCACGTTCTATAAGGCACCCCCGTGCAAAATTTAAGACTCCTAGCATTTGTAGTTTCTGAGATTTCGTCATGAGTGGGTGAGTCAGTCAGTACTATTACTATTACTCTATCCTACACCCTATGTTTTCTGTCAGTCAACCCTATTTCATGTGTCATGCAATAAATAATTTGATATTGACCCCTTTTGAGATTTATTTTTACAACTAAACGTGGTAAGCCATGTATTTCTCTTTAGTTTTGTTTGATAGAGACAGATTCAAATTTCGCATGAAAAATATTAAGTTTCTTCGTAGGCCAGTAGTAGAATAATTGAAATCGAAATTAATTTCTACAAAAGGTTTTAATGGCTTCATTTGTTGCCCATAAGACTATGTTAGGTTTTCGACTTCGGCGTAGTTGTGCTCCCTGCTTCAGTGGTGCCCCGAAAGCATTTTTGCTGTTAGTCAAAGTAGGATATCGTTCATAGTTTTCATAAATGAAAGCTAGACAGACTGTCTATCCTATGGTATTCAGTTTGCCCTACAACATTTCAACGCGCCGTAGAATACCTAACAAGTTCCACACGCAAATCCGCATTGGCGACGATAATTTCAAATCCCAATATCATTACACGAAATTAGCTTGCATTATTAATATTTCCCGCCACGCGGCCATATTGGCACAACCACAGATAGCATAACGAAACAAATCGCGGGAACTCCGCCGTGTCTATGGTACGTGCCGCGTTGTAAATATTCGAAATTCGAACGGGTGCGGATCGCGCGGGCCGCATTCAAATGGGCGAGTTATCTACGTTTACGCGGGGCAGGGGTGCGTGAGTGTCGATATCGATATAGGCAGGGTCTGACTTACACAGACCTTGTCTACTTATATCGATATCGACAGCCATTTACCGAGGACCTGTGATATAAATCAATATTTTTTTAGACGCCATTACCAATAGAGTTTATTTCAGTTTATTGTATCAATTCCACGGCTCAACTTAGTGTCGTCTACTGCTGGACAATGCCTCAGTCATGGATTTCTGTAAGGACTGGTCCTGCGCGGGATTGTTCAGGTGCTTCTGGCAATGAAGAGTTAAAATAGTTAAAAAATTGATAAATAAATAAAATATCCTTGGACATTTTACACTGCGCGATCTAGTCCCAAACTAAGCAAAGCTTGTAATAAGTGAAAATCCTCTAAAATTCAATGCGCCATACAAAATCAAATCAATATGTAGACTCTATTGAATTACGAGACATTAGTATTCATTGCTAATTTAACGTAGCTCTACAACAGATTCCCTATTTAACCGTGTCATCGACAAAAACCCTCCCAACACTACCGCGTATCGTCTAACGACGCTCCAAGAAAATAGACATTTCTGGATGCCGGCCGGGTGCAACGTGAATTATTTACACCGACTCAAAGACTGGGATGCGAGTTGGGGAACAACGTGCCGCTTATATAAAATAAACATTACTTTCTGGAGTTTCTGGATGCCGCATGCGGTCTGGCCTGGAATACCTAGGGCCGAACTGTGCGGAGCTTTTGCCTTATTATTTTGAGTCTCAGTTTGAACTCAATCGAAAGGCAATGAGGGCTATCGTTTTTATACCTAACAGTTGGCACCCCTGGCGATTGACAGGACCTTACTCTACAGTGGCGCCATCTTGATGAGTGCAAATGCGATAGTCCTCCTACCACTTTCGCGCTCACCAGTTGGTGCCACTGTCTTCGCTACTAGCAAGTAGAGGTGGGCGCCACGCCGGCGCGCCGCCGCCGCCGCGAATTTTTTCACGCCGCCGCCGCCGACGATCAGCTATCGGCGCGCCGATATTTATACTGTACAAACTATTTGAAATTTATTCCTCTGCTATACTGTACTAATTTGTGTTTCAATCGCAAAAGAACTATTTTTTTATTGAGTTGAGCGGCTATTCTTGTTCAATAAAGTCCTAGTATCACTGCGACCGGTACCGATCTATTGTGATCGCCGCTATTTTCCTTGCAGTTCGCCTCCGAGTCCTGCGTCCATTAGGAATGCAGTATCTTTTGGGGGGCTTAGGGTATGTTTGCCCAGGTGTAAGCTCCGCTTGCGCATTAATGGTCCGCAGTCCGTGAGAATGTGTAGTGGCGTTTCATCTGCCTCTTGGCACATCCTGCACGTTCTTGATTCGGACAGTCCCATAGTGGACAAGGGCTTGTTTAAGCTGCTGTGTCAAGTGAACTAAGATGCGCATTTTGATCCTA